GGAGAAAGAGAGAGGAAGGGAAACAGAGAAAGAGAGGGGGAAAAGGGCAGTGTGTGTGTGAGAGTGAGAGAGAGAGTGAGAGAGAGAGAGAGAGAGAGAGAAAGGAAGGGAAACAGAGAAAGAGAGGGGGGAAAAGGCAATGTGTGAGCAATAGGGTGTGTGTGTGTGTGTTATGGTGGCTATGCTGACTGCAGCAATGCGCCAAGGAGAATGGAGGGGGAATATACCCTACAGAGAGAGAGAGGGAGGGAGGGGGGAGGAGAACAGGGAGGGATGAGGATGAGTGAGTAAGAGAGGGAGGTTTGTGTGTGTGTGTGTGTGTGTGTGTGTGTGTGTGTGTGTGTGTGTGTGTGCGTGCGCAGTGGTCTAAGTGTGAAGACAGGCGCAATCTACACCAACTCCCACATTCATTCATCTTTCTCCTTCCTTCTCTCCCACTTTCTCTTCATCTCTCTTCCTATTTCTTGCAGTGCGTGTGTGTGTGCATTCAGGTATCTGCATCTAAGTGTGTGAGTGTTTTGCTGTTGAGAGAGATAAAGTGTTGCAGTGATTTCTAGAGGGATAGCCACAGGCAGCCTCTGAACTTATGTTTACTACAACAGTAGGGCCTCTTTATTTGCTGCAGATAAACCCAAATTCACACACAATCCCCACAAAATGAAAGAACCCCATAATGATCATTTATCTCTTTGGTTGTCTGAAATGGATGTTTGAAAATTTAACACGCCATTAAAGTTCATTTTGTGTGTGTCTCGCCTGGTTATTGGAAGACTTTTATCTCGGTTGCCTTGGGGACTACAGCTCCAAACAGACTTTTGGAACAACGTTACATCTGTTCGTTTCTGACAAAGGAAAGACAGTGACAGGACGGGTAATGAAAACTGAAAATGTGAACACTTAAAACAGCAAAAAATACCTTTGATTTGTGCACCCACAGCTGACTCACACACAACACGCCCACAAGCCTCTGTGTGTGTGTTTATGTGTGTATATGTGTGTGTGTGTGTAGCATCCCAGCGTGGTAAGAAAGATTTGTGAGACTCTCAAGGTGCATGTGTGTAGCGGTGTAACGCTAGCGAGTAAGATTTGTGTGCATGTGTAGGTGCGTGTGTGTAATATGTGCATATGAGTGTGTGTGTGTGTGTGTGTGTGTGTGTGTGTGTAGCATCCCAGCGTGGGCTCTGCTAGCTCAGCGCTTTCAGTCAGCCAATTAATTACAGAGAAGCGCTTGAGACAGAACAGCGTGTAGAACACACACATCGACACTGCTGCACACACATACACACACACACACACACGCTACTACACCACAGCGCATTACACACAATTCTTCCCTTCACTCAGACAATTATTTGTCATCATTGATGCAACAAATGACTGGAGCAGAGCCGCATGAGGCTCGGTCATTATTAGGGTTTCATGATGTTACAGATCTACAGATCGTCTTCCGGCGACTTTCTATCAACACAACAGTGATTCAACCTGTAACTATGTTATAAAAGCTTTTATATGTGCCGCTTCTAAGCACCCATTGTAAGGCAGCTCTGAACCGGTAAAATCTGTCTGGTGCATGGTACGTGATGCTTTTTACACAATGGTAGAAGAAGACGAGGCAACGCCCACAGAGAAGGAATCATGTGTTGCAAGTAAAAGTCCTGCATCCAAGTAAACTATGAGCCAAGTAAAATATCAAGTATATAAAATAAAAGCACTGATTGTGAGGAGGAACAGAGTTTAGTCTTCCTGCCCAGTGAAAACCTTGAACCTCCATTGATTTCAAGGTTTTCACTGATGAAGGAAAAGAAAGGAAATAATGATAAACAAACAAAAAGAAGGAAGGAAGACAGGAAGGAACGACAGAGAATAGGAAAAGGAGAAGATGGGAAGAGGGAAGATGTTAAAAAATTGAAGAAACAAGATAAAAAACCAAAGACAGAAAAAAACAAAGTAAGGACAACACATAGTGCTTCAACCCAGTTTCCTAGAAATTACGTTTCTATACAACAAACTGCAACGGCAAAAACGTTTTGCAGGAAATGTAACTGCAACCAGATTACACTTTCTATAAATGTAATGAAAAAATTATATTAACTTATTAAGCAAGTTGCAAATATGTTTACACTCAATGTATGGGCTCAAATTAGGGTCAATAAGACTTTAGGTTGCAAGCTCTTCTACAACCCAGGTCGGTTTAACTACATTTGATGATGTTGTAGAAAATAATGGTGAGCTTTTAATATGCCATGTATACATGCAAACCCACACGGGTCACAGATCAGTACACCCCCTCAAAAATCTACAAGGGTACTAGGATGAAGATAATGAACCAACTGCCCTCTAATTGGACTCTGCTTTGTGATTGGACTGTCATTGTCCAATAAGATTCAGGTGTAAAGATGGGGTCGACTTTGAGTACAGAGTTTTACGCATAGTTTTCTGCTTTGTATCTGTACACAGATGTTGACAAAAAGCACTTTCTCTTTCTCTTTGTGTAACCTCATCACTGATTTCATTTGTTCACAGATTTTATTCACACATTCTCTCTATTTTTCTTTAGTACAAACCTTTTCTACACGTGCACAAACTTGAACTTCTCCTGCAGATTTATTTTAAAGGTTTAAAAAAAAATGCTGATTCACAACTACAAACTTTGGAATTATTTGTGAACATGATGTTACAAGCTCAAAATCTTATTGACCCTAAATTGAGCTGAACGTATCAGTAAAATGTTCCAAACCTAACCGCAGACGGGGCTGCGAATGCTACCCCTGTGGTTGTGGTGTCAGCCCGCCATCCTCCCCCAAAGGCGACTCCACTGCTGTTGATAAATGTATAGTGCTTCATTCATTCAAAAAAAAAAAAAAAAACCAAACAAACAAACTAGAAAACATTGCCTCCGAACATAAGCAACCACATTTCCCACAAAACACATTTTCTATTGCAGTTTTAGTTGGATATAAATGTACAGTGTGTAAATGAAGAAGGTACTTTTCTTCACTTAATGTGGGAATGCTGTTGTTTTCTCCATTTTACAAACAAGTAATTAAAAGTATTGGAGAGCGGCATCATAATCTGCGGCAAGAATCTCCCCTGCTGTGTTTATTAGCAGACAGATCCCTCCCACCACCGGGTATTTCCAAACAAGAATATGGACTCGTGTTGGCTTCAGGCTTTGTTTGTGCTTCAAGGATTGTTCTACGCCTTTCGGAAGAGTCAAAGACGCTATTTAGACCTTATTTTGCTGAAAGTTTAAAACCAATGACGCGTATTGCCTCTCCTGCATCTCTGATCGCAAGGACTTTTCTACTTTATATGTTTATTAGTTTGTCTTATTTCATTTGCATTTTGTCGGCCCAAATTTGTTGTTTGTTCTTCAGTCATTTACTGTAAGATGTTTTCCTTGAGTCCTTGTGTGTTATGACCTTTAGTTTTTTATATATTTTAGTAAAAAAAAAAAAAGGAAAGAGAGAAGGAAGGACAGAAAGATGGAAGAAAAAAAGAGAAAATGAACGATGACATATGAGTTTATGCAAAGTCTTTGAGTGTCATGTTACTCTAGTCTTCACAAATATGTAGTGGAGTAAAAAAGAAATGTCTCCTTCTGAAATGTAGTTGAGGAAATGTAGAGAAACACTCAGGTAAAGTACCAGTACCTCATAGTACACGACAAGTACACCACTTCAGTACTGATCCCTTGGTTTATATTTCTGACACCAATGTTTTTTTATTAAACATGGGGAATAAAGAGGAATTAGTAGTTAACTATAACAACTATGCCGTTACTTTCCGAAACTCAAACTTATTCAGCAGCAAATCTAAGAAAAAAAAAACTGGGTCACTGTGCTGTAGAAGGGACAAGTATCTGAGAGAAGACCAGGAGTGGAAAACATCAAAGTGATGAACGCTGCTTCAGGTTTGCAAGTTCAGACCACCACAAGACATTAGAGGACACAGAAATGAGAGTGTCTTTACCTTTAAAGCGCAGAAGATACACGAGTCCTCCATGCACTTGTGTGTGGTCAGCTGTCGAAAGCTTCGGCGAAAGATGTCGAGATGCCACAGAACCTGGGAGGCAAAACAAACACGTTTACACACAAGAAAAATAACCCTAAAACCCTAAAGTGGTGTGTCGTCACAGGTCCCACTGGAACTGAGGCCTGTTTCCCTTTCTGTCTTAATCCTATTCTTACTGTACTTTGTTCATCCTCTGCACTTTTTCTGAGTAGCAGCTGTTTGTTTAAGTTGGTTGTTTTTGTTGAATTAATCAGTCGGATGGATAAGTCATCATCCTGTGTATCTCAGAGGGGACAGCGGCTCTACTTAAACATATTATTTTAACTGGGTTTTCCAGTGTATCTAAAATATGATCTGTACCTACCTCTGGGCTGATTTAAGGATAGGGCACAAGATTTGTTGATTCGTATTTTTTATACTGTAACTTTTTAATAATGTTTCACACACGCACACAAACAAGGAAATATTTACTTAGCTGCAAATGTGTTATTTCATCAAATAGAAACAACAATAATAACTGGAATCCCCGAATTAAAAACCCCATTGAACATGAAGTTTAGGCCTCAGCTAAGACTGATGACATGACGGCTCACAGTTGATGGTTGCCATAGTAACACAACATGCTTTCTAGCAAGTTTTGCAGGTGCACCGCAGTATACAGCAACAGCGACTGACAGAAAAAGTGGAAATGTGGATGGAAATATTTGAAAGGAAAGGCAATTTTGATGGGGGGCTGTGGTTTAAAGAAGTTTGGGAACTGCTGCTCTGGATACATTCTCTGGATAATGTGTGTAAAATATCAGATATATAAAAACAGCTCGTCCTCCCTGCTTGTCTTCTCACAAAGGGCAGACAAGCTGTATGAACTGCATCTCAACCTGGGCCCTGGGATCACAGTGCACAAACTAGCTTTCCATTTAGTTACATGTTATAATCCTGATGTCTGGATCACAGTCAGCTAGTAGAATGTATAGATTTAAGGTGAAAATAAGCAACATTTGCTTTACTAAAACTGAATCACATCACTTGCTGTAATGTGAGAGGGTTGCAGAGAATCCCCAGCCCAGTCTGCAGCTCTGTGTGGCTTTCAGCCATTTTCAGCTAATTGTTTTTTCCCCAACAGCTCCCACTGAGTGTGCTCTCTACTTTGTATATTTTCAGCAACAAAAGAGAGGCAGAGGCAGAGATTCAACGGGACAGACAAACCATCACAAAGCCCAAAGCAACAAGGAGGAAACACATGGAAACTAGATGAGAAGTGGTCTGCATGAGGAAGACATCTTCCTGTCTTCCTCTCTCTCTTTCTGTCTGTCTCTCTCTCTCTCTCTCTCTAGTGCATAATTAGAGGAAAGAGCTCTTAGTACATTCATCCAGCATGCTGAAAGATAATATTGACACAACACTGTCCCTTAGGCTTCGACTGAAATCTGCAGCACTCATGCACAGGACCACACACTCACACACATAGAGTATGCACATACATTTGTAAGTCTCACACAGACACACACACAAAGCCAATACATATGGCAACCTTAGCAATACAATGCTGTGTGTGTGTGTCTGTGTTAAGGAGAGAGTGATAGGTGGAGGAAAGAGGGGGCGGAGGATGACAGACTGCATGCTGACGCCAGTGTATGCATTCTATCTTTCCCCCCTCTGTTTCCCCTCCTCTCTCTGTAGTTTATTTGGTCGTGATGAATCGGCTCCCTGCACAGCACTGCAGCAGCCACAAGGAGGGCACACTCTCTCCATGCCCATCTCTTTTTATTAGTATCTATCTATCTATCTATCCCTTTTTCTTCTCTTCGAAGCGCATCCCTCATCTTTCTCTGCTCCTACCATTTGTATCATTTGTTTCTCTCTCTTCCCCTTTCCTCTTCCTGTTTTCTCTCTTTCTCGCCCTGGCTTGGAAACAATGGAAATACTGCAGGAGCCTCTTGGGGGAAAATAAACTATAGTATAAGAAACTTACAAACATAAAAAAGTGATAGAAACATACACAGAATAGAAATTCACCTCATCAGCTCATGTTTTTAGGAAGTTGCCATCTTCCAGCTGTTTGTTGTCATGGTAATTTCAGTGATAGACAAATGTAACCAGTGATACTGGAGTATTGATTGGTTGTGGTGATCTTGGATGAGGTGGTCCCGTCTCCTTGTTTGTGATGACAGTTGATTACAGGTTAATAAACAGGATAAAATACTTATTTTAAGCACATTTGCTGAGATATTTAAAGTTTAATGGTCCCATATTGTGTAAAGTAAGACTTCCATGTCTTTTTTGATTATAAAGCAGGTCTAGGTTGTATATTTATACTATGAAAGTATCAAAGTGCTCAGTCCACAGAGAAATGCACACAGCCTGTATTCAGAAACTGAGACTTAAAATAGGACTTCTATAACTTTGTGATGTCACAACAACGCCACTCTCAGCCATGCCCCAAGCCCCGCCCACCTGGACCCACCATCCCACCTTGCAGGATTTGGTTTCTCCAAGGGTTCAGTGCCAATCTGAAGATTAATCACATTTGAGATAATATTGCAATATGATAAAACAAGATGTTCTAACTGCAAAGGCTGCGATTACACTCTGGTCATGTGGCATGCAACTGAGAGTAGAGCAGTCGGCTAAAAGAGGACAACAACTTGGCACGCTACACTTTGACCTGTTGTATAAAGGCCTCAGGCGCGACAGAAGTGTCTAGGACGAGCAGTACGTCGGTTATGTGGAACAATTTTGGCTTTAAAAAAAAAGAAGATGCTGCACAGCGTCAGGTATTGTGCAGAACCTGCCTTGCTACCGTTGCTACCTCACAGGGCAACACTACTAACCTGTATCAGCACTTAAAAAACTCCACAAAGCCATGTAAGATAGTTGCATGGCTAAAATGCCGACCACCAGTGTGTCAGGTAAGCCAAATACCACCCAACAAGGATCACTGACCGAAATGTTTGAAAGCATAACTCCATATGAGCGTAATTCAAAACAGCACAAGGAAATTACTCAGGCAATAACAGAGTTCATAGGAAAAGATACGATGCCTCTCAGCACGGTGACCAAGCCTGGGTTTACAGCTTTGATAAATACACTGGATGCGTGCCCTCCCGCACATATTTTAGCCAGGTTGCCATACCGGAGCAATATGAAAAATGTAAGCTGAGAGTCTTTTGAGAGTTTTTCGCTACTACAACTGACATCTGGTCAAGCCGTACAGCGAAGCCCTATCAGAGTCTTACAGTGCATTTCATTAATGAAGACTTCAACCTCAGAGCAAAACTGCCTACTTCCCAGACGACCATACAGGGGAAAACATTGCAGCCGGCCTACGAGAGGAGCTTGCCAGCTGGGATCTCCATGAAGAGAACCACATCTGCATAACAACAATTTTGCATGCTTACAAGGCTGTAAATTAAACAAATCAGTCGATATACTACTGTGATTGAAGTAGTTAAATAAAAATATGTCATATCAATTTAATTTCATCATGACATATAAGCCTGGCCTGCAGGAAAGAACAGTTTATGTTTAATCTATCCAATATTGTGTTAGTCATAATATAGAATGATTTATTGATTGTGTTTGTTGAATAATACAGAAGATAAGGAATTTTAAAAAAATAATTGCATAATAAATCACAATATTGGTAAAAAATCCCAAATCATTCAGCCCCACTCAGAGCCTCTCTTCTGATTGGCTCATCGACCTGTTGTTACTAGAGTTCCAGAGAGAAGCCTGAGAGAGGAGATGTAAAACTACAGTGAGATGGTTTTTGGTTCTTGAAACCACAAATCTATCTTCTTATGAAAATCAAAACTTGAAATATAATACTGTACAAGTGTAAAATATGGGACCTTTAAGATTTTCATAAAATCAACCACATTTTTGGTACAACTTATGGTCTGCTTTCATTTTGCAGTAGCCATTCAATGTATTCAAATTTAGTTATTATCTTTCTATGTAGTAGTTTTGTTTGCTAGTGGCAGAGTCCACCATTCCTGTGCTGGATTCAGATTGGCAGCATACACACAAGAGATTCACAGGAGAGTGATGCATGAATGAAATCCAGTATCTCATTGTTAATTACCCTCACTGTTTACTGTTTATTCTCTTTAAAACGTGTAAGAGCTGCATGAAGTTACTGCTAATGCTAACAGAAGATAGATTAAAAACATTCAACTGGTGAAACACAGGGGGACTTTGTGAAGTAGCCACAGGAAACACAATGTGTTTGTCCCCCTAGTAAGCGCTAAACATGATCTGTAGAGTAAAAAGTAAATAACAAGAGTTATTACACCTTTCATGCTGTTCCCAAGGTAACTGCAGTCTTTATCAAATCAACCACACCTGAAGTATTAAGGATTACCACTTCAGTTTAAAGTGAATAACCATGACACCAGATCGTAGGATAGATTAGCTTTATAAGTTTCCTTATACCAACTCAGAACATGGGGCAGGCAGATTTCTGGTGCTACACAGCTCACTACTGGAATGAACCACAAAGGAAACTCAAATTGGGGACACTCATTGCTCTGAGGGACTTTAAAGTCCTGATTAAACGTACTGATTAACAGCAACTGTGGCCGCAAGTGACGATAATGGAGTAATAATAAATGGTAAGACGAAGTGTAAGAGTAGTACAAGTAGAGTAGAGTCATAAAGTGGGTTCTGGTCCCAACGCTCTGCTGGTCTTTACTGTGAAGTAACGACATCTTCCTGATAGAGAACTAGATCAAGATTTATTAGATTTTATTTATGACTTATACTAAACTATAAGCATAAATAAAGAGGTTATAACACATAAATAAAGCCACTTATAAACCCCTTAGCTTTGTTATAAAGTGGTACCTACTATTTCTAAATAAAACCCACAAAATTGTAAATACGGATTAACCTAAAAAGATGAAATGTTTAATCCTTTCATTACAAAAGCATGAAGAGAATTAGAGGCACAGCTGCTGTCGTTAATGATAGGAAATATTATCACTGAGGATCACTGAGGTCGTGTGCTTCACCTGATCAGCGTCATAAACTCCAATCACATTCAAACAAGACACCATTCCTATTCAGTGTAGACAATAAGGGGCTCTCTATCTAACCATCAATATGCCTCATGACCACAGCTCCGCCTGTTCTAGTCTTTCCCTGCGCATCTATGTCTGTCACATCATGCTGGGGTTTTTTTCTGCAACAGACTTTTTTCACAGCAGACATTTTTACTTGTCATCGCACAAAAAGCCCATTTGTTATTAATAACAATAACAATGGCTTCCTTCTATTCAAGTGTTCCAGTAAACCATGACAGTGAGCCCGCATGCACAACACCAGGACCCTGAAACTGAGGCAGCTAAATGGAATTCAGCCATCATTGATTTTATTATTCACACCTGTGCTTCACCTACTGTGACATGTCAAAATATCCTGAGTGAAAAAGGGCCTTTACATTTGCTGGTATTCCTGCTATTCCCTCCCTCCCTGCCCTGCCCTGCAATGTTGCCTCCTGACCTCCACACTGACCTTCACACCTGCTCCCAATCCTTACATTGACCCCTGAGTATACAGAACATGCCCCTTTGCTTTGTAACTCCCTGCTTTATTGTTGAGTTTTGCTTTTGAATGTTACAGCCGTGTGTTATTTTTTGGTTGATATTATGCTTCTTGCAAAATCCTGCATTGGATAAAATTGGTCAGCAAACCTTAAACAGCAAAACAAAAGTATAAACCAATCTATGCAGTAAACGGTCCTGTATCCTCTGCCTCTGACAGAGCTGGTAATGCAGACCATCACATCAGCAAAACTACTCAAACAAGGTATCCAGCTAGAAAATGTCAGTCAATGTTTTCTTGGCGTTGCTTCAGCTGCAGTGCCACCCTACAGCTGGACACATGCAAATACTGTATAGTGAACATTATTTGGTCTTATTGCTCAGGATTCTGCCCCAAGCAATTATGGGAACCAGTTCTGTACTGAGCAAAGTATCATCATTACCACTAAACTGTTCTCTGTTTGATTTGTTGTTTCTGAAAATGTCAATAGGTTCCTTAGTTAAATAGTTAAAACTTACTTTTATTTCTAAAAACAAAAAGATTGTACAAGTGGCTTAAGAGCATATTGTGGATGTGTGTCAAAGTCAAACCTGCACAGATTTAGTCACAGGATTTGTCATGTGTAATGTCAATTCTTCTCAACTGATACAAACACACAGCTGATTGGTGAAACTGTAGTCGTCATTTCATCACTTTTGTTTTCATTTGAAACTTTAAATTTTTACAATTAATGTGAGTAAAGTGCCAAAATATGAGTAAAAATTAAAGTTTTCTTTACGATTTTCATGCTCATTTTCCATTTTCAAGTTTCCTCTCATTACACAGCATCACAAAGACACACACACACAGACGCACACACGCATACCGCTGCCTTATGAGTGAACGTATGTGTTCCTGCTTCAAAGCCATTGTGCTCTGCAACTCCTTAAGCTGTTTTATTTTTCACCTGCGTTCACACAGAGAAAAGTTGCTGAGCGTGTACAGTATGAACACACACTTCAACTCACAGCACCTTCCTTCGCTCTCATTAAATCACACACATCATCCACAACAACTGCCGCTGCCGCTGCTGCTGATGCTGCCGCCACCCAGCAGCGCCACTGCAGCAGCGGGGGGTTCAGTGCCTTGCTCTAGGGGCCCTCAGGGGCAAGGAAGCAGTGCACTAGCAGTAGAGCATTAAACATTACAGTGAGCAAACAGAGCTTGGGTCAGTTCAGTCGATCAGTTTTACATCAGTTTTGATGATCAATTAATGATGAGAAAGTCTGTTTAAGGAAAAATTCAAAACATCGACTGGTTTTCTGCCTCTTCAACGTCAGGATTTGATGCTTTTTTATATTTTGTATCATTGAAAATTAAAAATGTTTTGGTTTCAGATTGTTGGTCAGACAAAACAAGCAATGTCAAGATGTCACCTTACGCCCGGGTAAAATGGGACGGCCATTTTTCTTCTAGTTAGCATTTGTACGTTTTTACATTTCACAGACCAAATGAACAAATGAACCGATAAAAAAAAAAATCATCTTAAATTGCAGCCTTACTGCTGATAGGGTGATTCTGTCCTAAACCTGAACTTTGACCCCTAATGCTTAATCTCAAAATAATAACATAAGAAAGCACACACACACACACACACACACACACACACACACACACACACACACACACACACACACACACACACACACACACACACACACACACACACACACACACACTGAAACAGCCAACGAGCACTTTAACGTGCTCTCGGTTTATCCTCCCTTGTCTGTGTCCTGTCTCCCTCTCTTCTGTGTGTATGCGCATGTGTGTGTACATGTGTGTGTGTCCTTGAGGTGGCCCACTTCTCTCCCCGTTGAAGCTGCTTTGCCTTTGTTAGAACATATTCTTCATCTCACAAATAAACTTCATGTCCTTCACTTTGTCTTTTCATCCATCTCTCCCTCTTTCCCTCCCTGGTTTTCCCCTCTGTCTCTCTCATCCTTTCACCACACTCGTTTTTTTCACCCTCTTACCTTATTTGATTCTTTAATTCCACTCTTTCGCCCAGCAGTATCCCCTGTAGTCTTCTCATCAGTTTTGTCATACTGTATACTCCTCATCCCTCTTTCTTCTCTTCTCCTCCTTCAGCAACTTTTCATCTTCTCATCTATCCCACTGCTCTCTTCAACTCTCCCTAAGCTTCTGCCCCATCACCTCCCTCCCTCTTCAGCTTACTCTCTCTCTTCTTCCCTTTCTCTCCCTCTCTCTCCCTCTCTCTCTCTCTTTCAAGCCAGTAGTGAAGAAGCATTTATGCGTGTGTGTGTGTGTGTGTGTGTGTGTGTGTGTGTAGGTATGATTGTGCCAGCTGGAAGTCTTGGGAGGAGGGAAGAGCGCGTGTGTGTGTGTAGAGAGAAAAGAGAGAGAGAGGGGAGATGCAGCAGTAGCAGCGCAGTGTAAGCATCTCCACACACAGACTGGATGTCCACACTGAAGCCAGACTGAGCAGCGGTGCCAAAACCCACCGAAACACGCAAACTGCCCGTTAATATGGCGCTAATCTCATCCCTGTCGCATTTAAATACTGCAGTGTGATGGGAGGGCGGGGTGTGTGAACTGTGTGTGTAGCTAAGTAGTAGCTACTTTTTTTTGCCAATAATGCATAAACGCATGACATTTCGCAGGAAACACTATTGCTGTGACAATAAAACACAACAGTAATCCCAGCAGAGCACTAGACTCACACATTAGCATTTAGCAGTTAGAAAAGTGACGCATTTTTTCATTGTATTGGCTTCGTAATCCAGCACATTGGATTTGACAGGAAACAGTGACTGAGATTAAAATGCTGATATTCATCTTTAATATATTGGTGTTTACACCCACATCAGATCATCAGTTTTGGAATTGTTTCCATTCTTTACCACATTTGTCCTGTTTTTTCCAGGGAATAAATGTAACTGGACAAGTTACAATGACGTAAAATCTAATAAAGTCATCATACTTAATACAATTGAAGTCTGTGGGTTGTCTGAAGTCCCACAAACTTCAACTAGCCATCTTCCTGTGATCCTCTGCTGGCCTGCACTGCAGCAACCCTCACTTCTTGTGTCTTTTGGGGACTTTTTAGCTGAGGTCTGGTCTTCAGCAAGTATGGAAAAAGTTTGCAGTCACTTAAGTGTCCCAAAGCCTCCAAATACTGTAGGTTTTTTATTAGCAAAAAATTGCCAATAAAAAGGTCAAAACTATTTGGAGTCTTCAGTGAAAATTGCTTTGGTCAAACATCCCCGACTAAAAATATCTGACACTAGCCTGTGGATTGAGGTCAGGTGACTGGTTCTAAATATCTCCATGATAAACATGTTACTCTCCTAATACTTTGTGAGTGCCCTGAATTTGTGTGTGTATGTGTTTATCCGACTGACCTGCAGAGCGCTGTTGAGGAAGCAGCTGTTCTGTCCCGGCTCGTTGCTCAGGCCTTTGCTGGGTGCAATAGAGGTCATGGTTCTCGGGGTCACCAGCCCCTGCACCCCGCCTGCTGCTCCGCCACCCGACGCAAAGTAGTTCCTCTTCCACGACATCACTACCTGGACGCCCCCGTTTCCACGGCGAGGCGCAAAAGGGGCGGGGCAGCGGACCAAGCAACGGCCTCTATGTCACTCCCATGAGAGAGAAAGAGTGAGAATGAGAGAAAAGCAGAGGAAGAGGAAATGGAGGGAGGAAGACGAGGGAGGTGGCGGCGGTAGATCGAGGAGAGGCGGTGAGTCTTGAAAGTGGAGCTGGCACCCATACAACCCTCCCCCTCTCCAGCCGTGTTTTTTCTTTAAAATCTGTCCACTTGCTGGAGCCAGCAGTTGGCTTTTTGTTTTTCTTTTTTCTAGCTCCTTGGATTTAGTAGTCTGTGTTTGAGGACATGAGAGCGTGTCCAAGGCGTCCTTTGGCAGATTCTGTCAGATAAATGTTGATTAGGCAGCACTGCTGCTCCCATGTGGAGACTCCTTCAATGCCTTCTTCTCTTTTACTTCCCCTGTAAGACATAAAGACCAAGCTGTTAGGACTGCTCACACAAAACAGTGAGAACAGCACGAACAGACTAAACAGTGGGGGAAAAAAACAAATTAAAACACACAAAAAAATAGTTTTCTGCTGTTCACTGTATATACTCCAAAATATACTGTGCATGGAGAGTCCTGTCATTAGTTTGAACATTGTTGGCAATGCAAATAAATACTTCAAATGTTGTTTTGGGAGTTAAAAAAGTACCCACTGCAGCTAAGCTTATTCCACTTGGATTGATGACAACATACTGAAGGTTTCAGGGCAACTAAAGAAGGTCAAAAGTGTATGTAGCCCACCCTCAACTGGTGGAAGGAGAGTTAGCTTGCTATCTATAGTGATAGCTAGCTAACACTACTGACTTAGCCTAAATATTAGTTTGATAATATGCGTGCAGCATGTGTGGGGACAGTGTTATGCTTTAAATAGTCCTTGTATTGCAATTGAGGATTCAGCAACTGACTTTTAAAACGCATGGATCCATAATTTTGTGAAAGGGTCATTTATTGCCAACTTTGCAACTTTACAGTCTTCTCAGCTTTTTGTAGCTTGGTTTTACTGCATATTTTCTACACAGGTGAGTCGTACACAGACAAACCCCACTGTACACAAAGTTAGCAACTAGCTAATAAAAAAGAGTTGAAAATCTAGCAACCAAAGAGCTGGATTTTGTTTGCTAATGTTGTTCCCTTTCCTCAGAAGGTAGCTGTTTGCTTACCCCCCAATGACCAAAAATTGATTACTGCAGCTTTAAATGTGTAGGTTTGATTGCTTTCACACCATGAATCATGATAATCATCACATGAACACAACAATGTTAGTCAGGGTAACGTTGCATCAGTGATATGACACAGGGACCGCTTGGAGAAATCTGTTATGTCACTTTATAATCGGTACTTAGGGACTTTATCTGGAGCTTATGCTGGTGCAGCATCACTGTGCACAGTTTCCGAACTGTGTGTGTGAGATGGGAAAAAATGAGGCAGTCAGTGTGTGTTTGTCACCAGACAGTATGTGTGCGTGGGTGTGTGTACATGAAGTTGCGTAACACCACACGGCAGTAACTAACAAATCCGCAGTGCCCCTCTACCCTCCACCCTCCCTCCCTTCCTTCCCCTATAGCTTCCCAACTTTTGGCAAAGCTCCCTCGCCTGGTTGTCGGGTTGCGTTGCCGCCACAGCACCCCCCTTGGCGAAAGGCCAGAGGGCGCAGGGATGCTGCGGTGAGCAGGCGAGCAGCGTGGGCTGTCGCCATGGCAATGGCCACATGGGACTGGGGTGGCAAGGTGGGGTGATGAGGGGGTGGGATGGAGGTAGAGGGGACGTCGTGACAAGTGAAAAGCAGCAGAGCGAATATGAAAGGAAACATTATGCAACTGTTAGACGACAAAAACGCAATGTCAGTTCATCTACTTGTCACACAGTCTATCTATCTATATGAAAAAAACAGAAATCCATGTTCGATACATTCATCCATAAACAAACAAGTCCAAATTGCCAGAGGATTTATAAAAGGATTTGGCTGGCATGCCCCTGTGTGCCATTTTCCTCCACAGCACAGCATCCTGAGCTTCTGTCTCAGCATACAGTGTGTGTATGTGAGTGTGTGTGTGTGTGTGTGTGTGTGTGTGTGTGTGTGTGTGTGTGTGTGTGTGTGTCTCCCGCTGAGCCTGTGGAGTGTGTGATCACACATCCCCTCTCTCCCTCTCTCTCTGACTGCACCCTACAGCCACACACAACCAAGATCGCTCTGGCAAGCCCTCGCACAAGCGCTGTTTATGTGGCCTGTATGTGTGTGTTCATGTGTATGTGTGTATGTGTGTATGTGTGTATGTGTGTATGCGTGTATGCGTGTATGCGTGTGCGTGTGTGTCCCCACATCTTCGGCTAGTTACCATGGAAATAGGCCAAGCAGCAGGCACGCGGGGGAAAAGCCGAACCATGTGATTTAACAGAGAGACACACTGTGCTGCACTGGTTGAGAAAGCACACACAGACACACACACATACACAAACACATGCACAGACACACAGGGCTGGCGAGTGATGATGATGTGTATTGATGGTGGAGAGTTCCTGGAAGCCAGAGTGAGTCAAGGCACAAGTCAATCAAACTCCCTGACCCTGCGCTGGCAGGCATAAGGAGACCAAGGACCTGTGGTCGCAGCCCAGACAGCGACCACACACCGAAGACATTTCCACGTGTGATGTTGAGGCGAGGACACTGGTTGTACATCCAGACACAGACACAGTGTGTGTTAGTGCTCACAGTCTGTGTGGCTTCATCTCCTTATCTTGTGGAAATCAGTCCCTGCTTGACTTTGAGCATCAGGATGGAGATCTAGGGTTATGTTTAGAATTAGCAGCAAGTGTAGGTTAGACTTAAAAGCCTGGTACACCCAAATTATTTGTGATGCACAAATTATTGAAAAACTCATCACAAGTGTCTCTTCCCAGAAACAATGCTCTGGTTAATTCACAGACCTCAGTGTCAACAGTTTTCATTGGAAATACTTTCTACTTGAGAAGTAGTCCTTATAAAAACAGCTGACATCATGCTCTGTGGAATTTTAAATGTCATTTATTCTCAATGCTATGAAAACCACAAACATAATTCCTTTCACATCCATTGTCCTGGGGTGGAAAAATAACTCATAGTTAGATACCACAGGCCTAAGTGAGGAAATGTACTTTTCAGTAATGTTGGTAAAGTGACCTTTTAACCTTTTCAACTCCACAGACATTTGGCAGGTTCATCATTACAGCCCAGCATTATTCATACCCACAGAACTGTATTTTATATTCTAGTCACGATCCAAAGGTTTCAAAACTTACCAAACAGGTCAGATTGAATTATTAGGACATGTACTTTATAAAAACAATATTATGTAAAATTGAAACCTTGAATTTTAATACACTGGGTGGCCAGTAAAATAGAAACAGGGCTCTTGTGATGTAGTGCAATACAAGTTCATTGGTTTGTGTGTAGATTCAGTTCTAAGGTGCATTTTAATGCTGCTGTTTCTAATAATTTGTCAACTTAATTTGCATATACAGTATGAAGGAGCCAAATGTCCCAAACACCTGGAAATATGCTTTTCAGTGCAACAACACCACAAACTACAGCTTCAAAATGAAAAGAGTCAACACAACAATTAAAAGGTTATGTTTGACATTCTATACCTATCTTATTGTCAACAAATCCCATGAAAAGATAAACTCCGTCCAACTAACAACTAATGTCTGTGTATCCAAAAACTATTAACAACACATAAATGAGACTGACAGGCTCCTTTATTACCATGAGCATGGCCACTGTAGTTTATTTACACCATCTTGCTGTCGTAAATATATACCAGAACACCAAATGTGTATTCATCCACCACTGAAAATAGTCCCTAAGAAATACACTATTTACTCCTGTTTGAGTTATGATTGCTAAACACAACAGTCCCCAGCTGTTTGAGGAAATTAGTGAGGATTTGTAAAACAAATTAAACCATGATTGAAAAAACCACCAATGATTTATGTCTTCACTAAAAACCAGTGAGACTGCAGCACTAACAGGGTAGGGAAGCATTGATGGTTTTGATCTTTTTGTGCCATCTGTTGACAAAAAGAAAAACATTGAACATCATCATCAACCTTATCCTTTAAGAAAACAATAAGTTTCATTACAGGAGTGTAGTATTAGACCGTGTTGAATTTACAACAGGTTCTTTCTATTCTCGTCACTCAAGAGTTCTTCAGTCACAAAAAGTGACCCAAAGGTTTGGGTTTGGATGTTGAAATTATATTTTTCAGTTTATATCTAAATGGATGAGTGAGTCAGTGTGACAGCAGATGATTACTTCTCAATCAATAAAAGCCAGCGAGGGCACAGCTGGGAGCACTGAGGGCAGAAAGCTGTTTTTATGGTTCCACTACACTATCACCACCGCTGCTACTGACACTACAGATATTACTACTACTTCAACTCCTAGTGTTGCAAATATTCATAGTGCTCTTATTTCTGCTAATATTCCTTCGTTTTCTTTCCATTTATCGGTCGTCTCTGTGCCTCTTTATATCTGTCATCTTCTATTTCTCAACTTTTCCTGGGCTCATCAAGCGGCATGCAGAACTTCAGAGGGATTTATCCGATGACAGCATCTGAAGGATGGTTCAACGCCTATTTGAGCCCCGGTGCAGCGTGACACCTCTCTGATCCACAATTTCTGCGATTAATGTAAATATTCGGCAAAAACATCCCTCCACATCCATCTGTTATTCCGCCGCTCCGTCAGATCAACATTCAAGAGGAATGGCGCAACATATGACACACGGATCAAGCATTTCTTACATTTTTCTCCCCCAGTCTGAGTTCCCATTGCATGTTTCTCAAGTTGTTTACTCCCCTTCTCTTCCTCCAGCTATAATTTCATTCCATCTCTCGGTGCTTTGGAAAGAACACAAGACATTTATTTCTCCTTGGGATTGGATTTAGCATGAAGCTGTTTCACTGTGGTCTGTACTGGATCTGCTGGTTTTCCATCCAAATATGCAATGCATTATGTGTCAAACTGGAAAAGCTGAATGGGAATAACAAAATTTCCAAGCATTTCCTCTGCATCTTGCAAAGGTTTTTACGCCCACTTATTTCTACAAAGAAAAACAATTACTCAATAACTCAAGAGTGTGAATATCAAGACACCAACATTTGTCTAAAACAGTGGGTCCCAGGTTTTTGGCTTGTAACCATTTCTGAAAAGTGAAGCAGTTTATACTCTCAATCCATTGTCATAGGTTGCAATATGTTTTACTTGGATATTTAAAGGTAAAACTATCCAGTATTTCAAAAAACATAAAGGATGTTTATTATTGAATAATCTAGGAACCTCTTATGTCCCAAACCCCAGGTTAAGCACGACTGTTCTAACATACACTACGTGGCCTAAAGTATGTGGACACCCAAGAAAACACACATTACACTCATATGTCATTGTTCAACAATGGGTGTTAACATGCTGCTATAACAGCCTCCACTCTTCTAATTTCAACAGGGATTTTCACACATTCAGCCACAGGCGCATTAGTGGGGTCAGCCTCTGACGTATGGGTGATATGGTTTGGCTCGCAGCCATCCCATAGGTGTCAGATTGAGTTGAGGTCAGGGCTCTGTGCAGGCAAGTCCAGATCTCACTTCTTTGTGAACAGGGGCATTGTCGTGTTGAAACAAACTGTTGCCACGAAGTCTGAAAGACACTATTGTCTATAAAAATCTTTGTATTCTGAGAAAAACAATCCTTGATCGCGTCACATGATCTTCCTTAGCAGATGGAGTTGCCAAATAGTTGTTGATTTTAGATTTTCAATTTTTGAAGAACTCCTTAGGACTTGGACTTTGATGTTGGAAACTGCAGTTGTCACCACAAGGTCCATTAGTTGCTGATCTTCATCTTGTGCGTTTGAGCCAACATGATGAAGCGTAGCTAAAAAGCTCAGAAAAATGGAAATTTGAACATCTACACTTCTTTTAAAACTTGGCAAAGTCAATCATGTGATACGTTTAAAAGCTCCAGAGCTGCTACTAAATGGACCTTATGGTGAGATTGTTTTGCCAGCTGCTGTTTCCAAGGTCAACAATGGACTTTCGAGCTCAAGTCATTGAAGCTTTTAGCCTTTATTTCCCTTAATTCAAACTAAAGGGTTGAAGCTAAAAGTCCACAAAAGATTGTGGAAAGGGGTGTCCGCATACTTTGGGACATATAGTGTATGTGCAACATCTAAAATATGACCTCACTGAAAGGTCATATAATAGATCTTCAGACAAAGCATTTTGCACATTCAACCGAGGAGATTTCGATCATTTCAAAATTCAAAAACTGGCCTCAAGGTTGGATGGAAATAAAATGCTGATAATGACACTGTTTTGGATTTTGAATTTACTGTCACCGTTTCTCTCTCTCTCCTTGCTGTGGGTTAGTGTGGCTCGGTGACAGTGACACCAGTGTCAAGCAAGCTGGACAAAGAGCTGATACTGTCCCTGAGGACAATGGGCTGTCTCTCACCCTGTCGCCCTCCCACTCAAGCAAACATAAAGACGAGAAGTGTATTTATATATCACTTTAAACGAAAGAATCTCAATCTCTCTTTCTTCCTCCTCTGCCTGAGCTTTCCTCTCTCCCTCCCATTCACTTTATTCTTGTTCCCTGTCTCTCACTTTCTTCCACTGACCTCCATTTTCCATTCTCATTCACTCTCTCAACTTTTCCCCGATTCATCTCTGTCTTTTTCCTTTCCATTTCCGGAAAACTTCACTTCACATGCATGTGCTCACTCAAACACAAACACACACACACACACAGTGGTTTTCCTGTAACTGGGTTATGTGTAACTTCAAATAGCCTTAGTTGACAATAGGGAGAACCCAGAGTTCATCCTCCCTCTGTGCTTCACTTTATCCCCCCTTGAATCTAAAGAGAAGTTTTGTATATGTATATATATATATATATATGTATATATATATATATGTATGTGTGTGTATGTATGTGTGTGTGTGTGTGTGTCAGAGAGAGGGAGCATACAGCGGGCACACATGCAGCTGCATGTGTGAGCATATTACTAAGACTGAAATCTTTTTTTTTTTGCAAGCGTCAAGGTCATTTCCCCGCTCAGACTCTGTAACATTAAAGTATACATGTGAGAACACACGCGTAATCACATGCACGAGCACAAAGACACACACACACACACACACACACACACACACACGCTATAACCTAGATGCAACCCATTATCTCCATGGCACATGTGCACACCCAATCCTATTAGTAGAAAATAACAAGAGGGGTGAATATTTGCTTAATATTTAGGTTATTACATAACCATCCTTATTTACAATGCATGATGGGAATCACGTGAGGTTTCTTCAGTTTAGATCAGAGTATAAAGAGAGGAGAGGAAGAGGAGCAGGGTTTAAAGGGTGATGGAGAGAAGGAGAAAGGAAAGGAAAGTTGGAAATATGAGAGGAGGGGATGCAAGAAAAGAAAGAAAAGCAAAGGAGAGAGAGAGCAAACAGAAGAGGACAAAGGAAAGGAAAGAAAAGAATATAAGTGGAGAGGAAAGGAAAGGAGGAGGAGAGGAGGTCAGAGGAGATCAGAGGAAAGCGAAGGAAAGGAGAGGGGAAAAAGAAATAAGGGTGAAGGATAGGAAAGAAAAGGAAGGGACAGGAAGGGACATAATGGGAAAGAAAAGATTAGAGAAGAGGAGAGGAGAAAAGAGAAGAACAGGGCACAAGGCAAAAGAGAGGAGAGGAAAGGAAAAGGGAGGGAATGAAAGAAAAAGAGGAGATGAGATGAGAGGGAAAAAAGAGAGAACAGGGAAGAGGGAAGGAGAAATGGAGGAGAGGAAAAAGTGGGACATTAGATTGAATAACCAGCCGCATGTCAAAGAAAGAAAAAGAGAGAAAGAGCGCTCCAGCAGATGGTAAAGGTCAAAGGAGACATATAGTGTGAGCATGCCTTTCTCTTCCTCTCTTCCTTCTTCATCCTCTGCCATGACTTAATCTGCTCTTCCTGATACCTCGACCCCCTCATAATCCCATACATGCGGACCCAACCAGACCAAGACCACTTTAACTGAAATGCCAATGATAGATGAATCCCCTGGGAAACTGAGACACAAGCCAGGCTCAGTCACACATGACCACATCCAGAGAGAAATGCTCTGAGGATTTAAGCCAATTAAAGTGTAGAATATAAGTGAATTTAATAGAGTTACATATGCTCTAAACTGTTTCTCCACATAACTGATCTGTCTGCAAACACACACAATAAGTCAATGAGACCTTGAGATCGATTGTTACTTCAAGATAAACACTTTGATTAGGTGATCCTCTGATTGGCTGTGTGTTTGGACTCTGGTGATATAACAATTCATTCTGAAATACAACCAATAAACTGTTTTTATCACGTCAAATCCAAACAATCAGAGAATAGTCCGAGAACTGATGAGAAAAAACATTTTCGTCACATCAAGTTGCCCAACTGTCCACCATAGCGACACACTACATCACACAAATCACCCTGATTGGTTTGACTATTTAAATAATGCTAGTGGAAACACCCCCAAGTAAAATCTCTGAGAGGGAAGAGGGAAGCCAGAGGGCTTTTCTGGCAGCGAGGACCGCGGCTAAGGACAAGCTATTTTGTAGATAAAGGTAATGTGAGTTTACCTTCCAGGACAACTACACAATAAAAGCCTGCACGGCCTGGGACAGGAATACAAGAGTATACAGTACAGAAGCTACAGTGACGGACCATAAAATATGGAAACAGCAGTGTATATAAGGACATGTCATGTTAAATAAAGTTGGCTTGGAGATGGTGTTTTTAAGCTAAAACAGGATGAGTGGGTAATGCCCACGTGCAGGCAGCAGACACGCACATTAACACACAAACCCATGTGTTCATATTAACCATAGTGCAAAAAGAATAGCAGAGGATTCCAGAGTATTTCATCTCCAAAAACTAAAATTGATGATAAGTCCAACTTAAATGTCAAGGCGACATTTCAGCTCAGAGTGTGTGTGTGTGTGTGTGTGTGTGTGTGTGTGTGTGTGTTTTTTTTGTTTTCATGATGTTGTGGGGTATAAATCTGTTCAACCAGTCTGACAGATATAAAATGATACTGTCTAACCCTAATATAGAAGTTAAGGCTTTATTTTAGGGTTAAGCCTTGGTTTTGGGTTTAAGTTATACTCGGGGGAAGGTTAATATCAGGGTTATGTTGGAGTTTAGGTGTGTGTAGTGATGGTTAAGGTTAGATTAAGGCTTCAGGAGTTACTGTAAGTCAATGCAATGTACTCAGAAATAGACAAAACCAACGCGTGTGCGCCTGCTTAATGAGGGTATAGCCAGTACCCTATTTTCCCTTTTTTTTGTAAGTATTCACGTGTGTGCGCGCGCGTGAGGCACGCAGCAGAGGGCTGTGTCACCATCTCTAATGTGACGGTAGTGTTGTGCTGACGGTGACGCGGGCCCCGGTGAGGGGGCCAATGTCATCAATCACGCGGATCGAAACCGCAACATTAAATCAATAGCGGCCCCCGGGAGCGATGACAGCAGGAGCGTGAATCCGCCACGGTAAAAGGCTGCGGTCTCTCGGCCATCCATCAACAAGTCCTCACAGTGTACAGTCCACCAAACCACCGCGCGAGACCAAGACACGCAATAGGCAACAGAACGGGAGCCACGCGCACAGTAGTGGTATGCACCTGACTGGATGGATGGGACAGTCTGAACAATAGTAACACCTGTAACTGAGAACTGACACTGTGATGCAACCGGGATGAACTTGAGAGGAAGGGACTTTAAAGCGGCAACAGAGTATCTGCGCAGGGGGGAATTACCGACCCAAGACCACCTGATCAAATAATAAGCTGACAAGTGCAACAGAGGGGTACCGAGAAGCACGAGGAAGAGTTGCTCGTGCTGCTGATGAGAGAGTAATGATGGAGTTAATGAAGAAGATGATGAAGAAGATGACAGTCATCCTCAGAGACTGTCACGGGAACACCTTTGAAGAAGGATCACATCTGGCCGACACGCTGATTACCCCCCCCGCTACCCATCCCTCTACAAACACACCCCCAATCACCCCCTCCCCTCCCATAACCACACGCGTCCCCGTCCCCCCCCCTATCCCCCCACGGTCCCCTCTAGCTGTGATGGAGCCCGTGCAAGTGCGTAGTGTGCAGGTTTCTACTCACCCCGGGTGCTGTCGCCGCCAGTCTCCGTCCGATCGCGTGTCCTACCGTGTGATTTAACGAGAGAGAGGAGAGGGCGAAGCCGTGGGCGCATCCAGCCCCCACCAGCGCCATCCAGCGCTCCAGTCGCGGCACGCCGCTCTCGCGATACCGTGCCATCTTCCAGTTCTTTGCTGCGTTTGCGAGTGTGTGACGTAGCGGTTTTATCAGGCGGTTTCCTCAGCCCGATGCCGCCGCCTCCCGGGCACGAGGCGAAAAGAGGGTGGCCATGATGTTATTCCGGGGGCCGGTGACTGTTGCCTTACCTGTTTGAGCTGCACGCATCATGCACACCACTGACATGGTAACATGATGTAACCTGCTGCCAGCAACATGCAGACAAGGGTGGAGTGTAACTAACCACATTTAATTTGAGGTAGCCTATTTGTTCTTTATTTGTGTATTTCCATTTTATGATACTTTTATTCCACTACATTTATTTTCTATTCACTAATTACTTTTCAGATTAAGATTTTTTTCTTTTTAACAAAAAACATATTAAGCGCTTATAAAACATGATGCTTTCCTATAGCATAAATTAAACTACCCAACAATATACAGTAGGCTATACAAGAAGAAAATGAATAGGAAACCATCTTGATCATCGTTAATGTCCCTTTTTTGATGTAAAAATACTAAACATGTCATGCTGACTCGTTGAGATCTTCTTCCACCAGGACATGCAGACGACATCTGTTTGACTGCTGTCATTGGAGACCTGCCAGCACCAGTTTACTGTCACAGCCTGAACACACTGACTATTCATAGTACAAGTGAGAGGTCATGGGGACACCTTTTAGTTTGGCAGTGAAGGTGCAAGAGAGACAAAAAAGTTTAATAAGTCACATAAATCAGACCTTTTATGAACACGTGTATCAACTTGAAGATTTTTGATCACTATGGTAGATTACGAATTATAAGCATTACTGACCTTGTTGTCTTTACTAGCAGCTGTTGTGCAGTTAATTTCTACATTTTAACGCTACAACTGCTTTTACTGTTCCTCGTTCGTAGTATTTTCTGCAAGTAACCAACTGCAGAGTATTCAATCTGCTTCCTGTTTACACCGGCACGTGCATGCCAAGTGTACGTGAATGGTCATGTGATGTGCGTATTTAATATAGGAGGCTAAAATGCCCGTTTGGACAGAGATAGTTTTAATTTTAAAAAACAACTTTTTAACCTTGATAACATGTCCATATGACATTTCTTATCGAAAACAACACATATCATGCGCAAAATAAGCAGCATGCCTGTGTATTTTCACCTTAGAACTGCAGTGAACCAATGGCGGTCAAGGTTTCATACCTGTATAGCTAAGGAACCAATCCTGTCAAACAGCGGGGACGAGGGCGGGCAAAATAAAATCCGAAATCTTGTCAGTACGGTCAGTACAAAGAGCGAGAGTTAGCATTAGCACAACCACCAACACTGTATCAGCCACTGCCAGTTGCGAACTAACATACAGCATAAACCAGTTAACGATGCTAACCGTTCTGACATGTCTGCTAGTCACCGGTTTTAGTGCACAACATATTCCTTATCTGAGTCAGGGTATGACTGACGCTTAAACGCGTCGCTGCGTTTCTCCAATGTTTCCTCCAACACTAACCATCATGATACTCTCAGCTTCACCAGTCACTGAAACATTGTCAGTACAGAGAGCAAGAGTTTGCATTAGCACAGCCGCTAACACTGTGTCAGCCACTGCCAGTTACAAGCTAACAAACTAATAAACTAATATTTACAAACTAAATTAACTAAACTTACCGTTGTGATACGTCCTCTAGTCTGCAATTTTGGTGCACAATAAACTCCTCAAAAGGTCTGGGTCTGGTTCTGGTTCTGGCTGAGGCTCCTTGCTAATCATATTGAGGTACTGATGTTTCACCTGTCAACACTTCGCGTGAGCAACGGTGGTGGGCGGGGCCTAAGGCCTGATCCAGATTTTTCAATGAAGAGTGGATGTGCTTACAGCCCCAGTTTTAGATTTTTTTTTTTTTTTTCACTTTTTATGTGGGAATAACATGTTAAACTAAATATTAATTAATTCTGAGTATTTTACATAGTCTAAAACATGGCAGGAGAGGACAATTTAAATGAAAATGTGGATGAAGCCTAACTCAGGAAGAAAGCATATTTCCAAAAAAGTCAAACAATTCTTTTAAATTAGATAACTTTGGAAGTCAAACAGGCAAGTTACAGTACAGCAGCCCCCCTCTGGCTTTTAGGTTTTTTGTTTTGTTAAGTCAAGTCACAATAGATGGAAAAGCAGAGAGGGTGATGACTTGCAATGATGTGAGTCCCAACTGGACTGCTGTTACATGATATGTGTCTTCAGCCACTCAAAACCTTTTGCTATAAAATTTTGAACTCAACTTCTTATAAAAATGAATGAGGCCCTGAGTAAAAAGTCAATCTGCAGTTGAAAGCTCCAGAAAGAACTACAAAGTGGATGATTTCAAAAATAAGTAAGTTTTATCTTGTAATCAAATATTTCTCCAGGACTAGCACATGAGAAGCAGTTAGGCATTCTGTAAAGGGGAACTTTATTGCATAAATACATAGTTTTAAGAGTGCAGAGTGCGTATCTGTTTCTGTTCACACAGGTCTCACATTAGCTCATAGTATGCAAAATCATAGTAAGACTCATTCATAGTTGAGGATGCAAAGGTAAGAAAGCACACAGGAGACCAGGGGAGATACTCTGTCCTTTTCCATCAAGTCGTTTTTAAATTGTTTTTGTTCGTTTCCTTTTTCCATGCAATTAAAGTACATTTCAACATGTTCTTGTGAGCTTCAGCAGTTCTAACAGTGCTTATGTTTTGTAGTGTATGTGATGTCAATTATGATCTGCCTAATGCTCTCATGTATGTGTGTGTCCATGAGTTCTAGTGCATGTACTTTTAATCTGTTTGTGTTTTGGGCTACATGTTCTGTCTGCATGTGTTTTCACAGGTCATCTGTCTCTCCATCGAAGGTGATGTTGTCCAGGTCCATGTGGATGTGCGAGTTGTCTTCACTGCAGACCCAGCCGATGGGTGTGCGGTTGAACGAGGGGCGTGAACGGATGTCGGCCTGCAGATTGGGCACAGGCTCTGGCTCCTCGGTGGCAACGTTGAGCTCTGGGAGCTCGAAGGTCAGCATCTTGGACGCCTTGTCGTAACCACCAAATGGCAACGCCATTCTGGGGAAGAAAAGGGAAAAAATAGAAATCTGAGACACAAGCTAACATCAGGATGAGCATCTCTGGTGCTGTACTGTGCAGTACAACAACTTTCAGCTTTCAAATTTTGTGACAAGAACAAATGAAACAACGACACACTGCATTTAATGATCTTCCACAAATTATTGCAAAATAATCTCTGACATGTTCTTGAAGGTGAATTTCTATTAAACATATTTTACTGTTTGCATTCTTCTTCACAAAGATACACAAACCAACCACAAAGAGACACAAACCACTACAAAGATGTAAATCGACTACCAATAACATCTCTGTGTCATATTTGTGTCACTCTGGTTCACCTGCAAAATGTTACTGAAGTCGGTTTGTGTCTCTTTTGGTCTGGGTGTCTTCCTCTTATGTAGGAGGGGCGAGGGGCCGTTACATATCTGTGCCCAGGGGCCTGATGTCTCATAATCCACCAATGGCTGGTTGTTTATTGCTTATTCAGACCCATTAGTAATTACGAAGGATACAGCTACGCTTTCCGGGGTCTACAACAATCATCAAAACCGTTACAAGGATGGAGATCTAGGGTTCAAATAAGATTAAGATAACTACATGTGGAGCAAAATGTCGTCCCAGTCATAAGTGTAATAGAAGATTCCTAAATGTGAGTGACGTGGTACAGTATGTTATGTCTGTATCACTGCTGAGTGAAGCCATAGACAGAGCCAGGAAGGAAGTTCCTTTTTTACTGCTGATGAGACAGAAAACTGTTGGTTGCCTGGTGATATGGGTTATATGAGAGTAGCTGAGAGAAACCTGCAGAAGTGCTGCAGTTTAAGCCTACAGTTCTGTGATAATAGTTCTGTTATTTAGTGTATTTACAGAATACCAGTGTTATCTGAACGTAGTTATAAGATCACTCTGTGTACCTGTTGAAGCTCTTGTAGTGAGGCAGGTCTGGGTGGCTCTGGATGGGTCCCGGCATGGCAGCCTTCATGGTGGCTGTCAGCTCCTCGTTGCCCTTCATGGCCCGTTCCCATGGTGATACATAGGTGCGTACATACTCCTTCCTCCTCTTCTCCTTCTCCGCCTCCTCATCCACTGTCTCCACCACTGAGACACACAGCGACAGGCAGGAAACGGGGAGACCAGACAGATTAAGTGTAAAAATCTTAACAGAAAGAAAGAAGCTTAAATACTGAAAAGGGGCAGAAATATATATATATATATATATATATATATATATACTGTTGCTCATAAAGTTGGAATAAAATATTTTTTTCCTTTTTCCATGAAATGATTGTGACAATGTGATTTATTTCATTTCACCTGGGTAATTGGGACACATAATGTAATCATCATTGCACCTGGTCAAAAGTGATTACTGACGCATATAAATAGGAATAAACAGAGGATTGATTGGAAAACAAAATTATTCCAACTTTATGGGCGACAGTATATATATTTAAAAAGGTGCATCTATGACCCCACCCTCTTCTTTTGGCATCTCAGGCTTTGGTGGAACAGGGGGAGGGGACATCAGCAGGTTCTGGAGGTTCTGCTGGCAGACATAGGAGGAAAAAATCTAATCAGTACACGTATAAACATACAACATACACAAACACACACACTCCCTTCCTCTTCTTGACTCTCACCATGTTCTCGTTGGTCACGATGAACTTGTCAACTCTCTGCTGCCTCATCCTGAACATCTTGGAGCCCTTGTTCGAGAGCAGGGAGAGCTCCTCCAGCATCACGTCCTTGGGCGTCTTGATCTTGGTGCCCAGGTCGAGCTCAGAGGCCTCGGGGTCTGACTCATCATCTGACAGGAAGACGAAGGAAGAGGAGGAAGAGGAGGCCAAAATGAATATGGAATAGCAGGTGGGTGTGTGCAGAGAAAAGGTAGAGGGGATATTGTCATGATTAAAGAAAATTGCAGCGTTACAGTGGTTTAAAGTGCATTGAATAAAAAGGGTTTTTTTTTATAAATTGAAAAGTGATGTTAGAAAGTTGTTTGCAATAAGATCATATATCCATATAGAAACTATTGTACACCTTTTGGATACTACATCCTAAGTCAATATAATATAACATGAAATTAAGGTTTCTGTTATTTCTGTCATTCAAAAGTTTAAAAAAAACATTTTTAGAAGGTTGTAATCCTAATAAGATGCTAAACATCATCGCCCCATCCCTGTTTCAAGTACTGTTCAGAATTTAATAAAGGCAGCAGTACTTTTTAAAAATGAATTGCAACATATAAATTAAAATACAATTTAGGATAGAATATTTTTCTTGACTTGGCTTTTCATTTGAGAGTGAGCACTGAGCTTGAAATGCATCCCATCTGATGCAACAGTTCCATACGTGAATTTACTAACTCTAAGGATGAATGTTTTTTATTCAGTTTGATTATCCAATCATTAGTTTGCAGGATACATAAGAAATTACAGATTTTGACCAAAGATTTATTGGAAAAATCAGAAATAGTTTGACATTCTGGGAAACACTATTATTCTCTGTCTCGCAGAGAATTAGATGAGAAAACTGATACTGATTTATGCCAAATATGAAGCTACAGTCAGGAGACTGTTAGCTTAGCTTAGCAGGATAACTGGAGACAACACAGAACAGCGAGAATCCACCTATCAGCACCTTCAAAATCACTAGCTCACACATTGTTTCTAGTGTACAAAAACCAAAGTGTAAAAATGAGAAGTTAATGCCAAGCTAAGCTTCATATTGAATGGGTGAGAGTGGTATTGATCTTCTCATCTCACTGTCTGCAAGAAAGAAAATTATTTTGTAAAATGTCAAACCATTCCTGAAAACCATTCCATGAAAACTAAAAAAACATTATTATGTGTTAACATTAAAAGATATTTTCAACATTTTCTCATGAACTGCTGTACTTACTAAATAAAAAAAAGCTGGCTCGTGTTTCCCATGATGATTTATCGCCGTGCAGATGAACAATTTCTGAGCATTTTCTGTGATTACGATCATAGATTCAGAGGATGGTGCAGCCTTGGCGGAGGCACTGCACTCTCTCAGCTGAGCTCTCTCTTGTCAGTGACACCCATTTGGCAAATTAAAAGGTGGGTTTACAAACCAAATCATGTCTGGTATTGAATCAGGGATGTATAAGACTGTAAAGGGCGTAATTTTATCCTCTGGCTCTCATACCATACTTGAATTGAATGAATTACAGTTGGAACCTGTTGTGCTGTGTTAGAGGATGTGTGTGTGGGAAACCGGGGGAGAAGTAGGCGTTACTAGGCCAAAGCAATATAAAAAAAAAGGGGCACTGGGGAATGTCACAACAGGTTTTCTGGTAGAACTGTTTATGGAGGGAAATCCTTATAACACACTGCCCCTCTCTCCTCCTCCTCCTCCTCTCTTACAGTGATGGAGAGATCTGATGGATTTTACTGCTCCACAGAGCTCCTCATAAAACACTCTTCTCATCCACTTCATACACTCTGATATCACTCATAACACCTGGAGTCCAGCCATAAACCAACACACTCTCACACACACACACACACACACACACACACACACACACACATGCGCACACACACACTTGCACGAGGCACATCTATAAAGCGGGGAGTTGGCATTGCAATGCTGCGGAGAGCTGTTAGCAGTACCTCATAAATCAGACTTGTGCAAGTGGGCGTGTGTGTGTGTGTGTGTGTGTGTGTGTGTGTGTGCGTGTGTGTGTGTGTGTGAGAGAGAGAGAGAGAGAGAGAGAATAATTGAGGCTGCTGAGCAGAGCGAACTCTCCCATGGGGATATTGATTAGGGTGTTAATTCAGAAGAATGTGAAACTGGAGCTGGCTGCTGACTGGGGGGAAAGTGGACAGACTGACAGAGGCAGGGGGTGGACAGATGGACAACATACAGAGGGACAGAAGCATGGGACAAACTGTCAGAACGACACAGTGGCGGGGATGATGGATAGATGAGTGGGCATTAACTGGAGCAAAATAGGGGATAAGCAGGATAAGCTCCTGAGTGAGTGAGTGACTGACTGAAAACAAACTGCTGGAAAGATACAGATGTGGCTACAGATGTGACAGCAGAAGGAGAAGTAGAGAAAACAGCAAAGGACACAGGGAAACAGGGAAAGACATCAACAGATTGTTCAATGACATATAAGCATGTGCACAGACACAGCAGATTGCATACACAGAGATTGGCAGATAGTATATTTCTGGTGTTTATAAAAGTATTATGCAACAAGTAAATACCAGCTTTGATTCTCTGATAGAAAACATTAAAACAAAAGTCTATGGCCATGCTAGCAGTTCTGCAGCGCTTTTGATCTGAATGTTAAGTCACAGGTCACAATCCCAAAAATTTTGACCTGACGGTGGAGCTAGATGAAAAGTTAGATCACAAAAGCTGTTAAAATTCATCCTATCGGAACCATGAACATCTGCAAAAAATTAGCTGTTGCCATCACTAGAGCCTTGCCACTAGCGTAGTTCTTTAATAAATGTATTGTATCATAGTAAGCAGAAAAATGGCCACTCCTCGAGTGTTATACTGTGTATTATGTTATCATAATGTTGTAATAATATTGGATTATTTATGCATAGGCAGCATTTTAATGTAGCAGCTGGTTGAGATGGAGCTCACTACATCATATACTCTTTGTATGGTTGAAAGGGGCTACTCGTAAGTTTTCTCTGCAGCTGGATGTGGCTTCTTGCCGGGAGTGGGTGGTGGTGATTGTTGTTTGACAAGAGCTTCGGCCATTACAATACAAGAGGTTGTAATATGGCCTCTGAGCACCGCTTCGTCTTCAGGGCAGGCTACTTTAAGTAGAAGAAAAGACGTGATAGAGAGTTAAAATTGTTGTTGCTTTCTGCTGCTGGAGACAGCTCTTGGTGAGTAAAGGAATGAAGTTTGATGCTGAAATCACAACGTTTCCTCTAGGCTGATAAGTAAAAAGCTGTTAATGTAGCAATAGCAAAACTTACAAATAGCTCCTTTAATATTATAATTGATCATTCATTTTATTTTATAGATTTGTGATATGTTTTTATATGTAAACGTTGAATCTGCACAGTGTCACATTAAATGTAGTAAAAAGAACAATTTCCATCTGAAATATAGAAAGTAGAATGAAGTATCAGAAAATTAAAATACCCAATTCAAGTACAATATACCATAGTTTTGTACTGAAGTACAATAGTTGAGTTGCTGACTATGCTTTTTATGGCTGCATCATCTCTTTTTATGGAAATATTGCAAATGCCAACTGCATCACTATTTATACATGTTTCCCTAAAATTCAGCCTGACACGTCTGTTTTTTGTTTTTTTTTCCTTTTGGAAACTTTGGGATCTCCACTAGAAATAATAATGTGTGTTGTGTTGTCTGTGAGTTTGAACAATGTTCAGCTGCACGGCAAGAGTTTGAACAGATGGACCTACTGGTGGGTCTGGCAGAGTGTTTCTGGTGGGACTGTTCCTACAGTAAGTCTCACAGACAGGGATTTTCGGAATAAATAAATAAATAAGTAAAGGAAGAATTTTGCTGTATAGCATGAGCTCCTATGGCTGATGTAGCTCAACAAAGAAAAGAGCACTGATATACATATGCTACAGCAACAACCACTTAACTTCTAAAAGATGTTGTGTATACTACAGATTCCTATTTGCAGTGGCGGGTTAAATTCCAAGTTGTGAACTATTTGCCACACAGTTTACACACAGTCTCAAACAAATATGGTGGGAGCAGAATCACAGTCTGGTATTTCGTGTTGCCTCTAATGGTGACAGATTTGTTGCTGCTCTGCCATCTGATAATGAGCCGCAGCCCTCCAGGAGATGCCACATGGATGTCAGATATTGTGTTACTGCTTGGATCTAGTGTGTGTGTGTGTCTGTGTATGTGTGTGTGTGTGTGTGCGTGTGCGTGTGTGTTCTTATTTAATTGTAGCATCATAAGACCACATGCAACGATTTACACTCACGCAGTTCAACTTACAGACACAGATTGTGTGGATAGCAGACACCAGAGAGCAAAACTTACAATTGGGTTTGACATTTACTGGGCTGGATAATCAGATCACAGGGGACATAAAAGAAGATCTTCCAGGAAGGATGGAGAATGGAGAAGTCTGCCAAAATGTTTCAAGTTTACATGCTGTGTGTGAATGTGTGATCTGGATGCGAGTGTGAGTAGGTGTGTGTTTGTGTTTTACCATTCTGGCTGACGTTGGACAGGTCAGTGATGATCTTGTTGGTCTTCTTCCTCTTGTTAGAAGGGGCAGGAGTTGTGAGAGGCATGGCTGTAGGACAGACCAGAGACATGATGACTTCATCATCATCATCATCATCATCATCATCATCATCATCATCATCATCATCATCATCATCATCAGTCTCATCATCAACTGTTCATACCTTTCATATAAGAGATTCAGCTTCTTTACACTGAGACAAAAACATTCTGTTACAGTCTAAATTCATTATCAAGTTGTAATAGACTGTATTTAGATTTTAAGCTGCACAGATTAATATTCTTATATTCATAAGGGATCAAATGACTATGTGATCACCCCACAAAGATGTATTACCCAACTCTGCAGTTTCCCTTCACCTCGACCACTTTCATTAACTGTCCCGATGCAGCAGCTGTTTTCAGCAAAACACCTCTGATGAGCTCGCTGTACATTACCTGCCCAGCACCACACAGACCAAACAGACAGACAACGTTATCAACAAATGAATAGAAGAGCATTTAGGAGCTAAAGAGACAAGTATTTCTTTCAGGAGTCGGTGGAGACCAAAAACAGGGCTAAAAGGAGATGTCAGCTGACCAGTAACATGACTCCATATGGTGCTTCATACAGCATGTGCCACAACATAATGTTACACAGCAGCATTGCTGGTTTCAGCAAGTGCCTCGCGTTAAAAGTCAAACTGAAGAAGTGCTCTGTAGGAATTACGACAGGAGCAAAGATGTAATGATAGAGCAACAAATTCTGCACAGGGAGGAGGTCACAGTGATGCATGAGTCGGCAAAACACAGGACGTTAACACCAGTGGCCACTGTTCATTTCCTGTTTTCTACCGACGCTCAACATTGTTTTCTAAAATATTATAACCAGTATTGTTCCCTGACCTGAATCAAGTACTTACTTTAGGATGATCTAACCAAGTCGTCCTGCCCTTAGGGGTGTCTGATTGGAAAATACTTGTTACGTGTTGCTGTGATGGGCAGTTACAAACAACATATTTTCTCATTTAATTTGGAGGACCTTGTTGTGTGTGCTTGTTGTGTTGCCCCCATGTGACCAAAGAAAATCTATTAATGCAGATTTAGAAATTGAGCAGACGTGAACATAATAGATCAGGAGTGGATGACTAATAATAGATTCTAGGTAATCTCCATCTGCTGTCCTGAGATCCGGGGGGAGACAATAAAAAAGTCTGCGTCCAGAGACCGGCTTCACTTTAAGGTCATTTTTTGGAAAAATTTTGATACACTAAGCCACAATAAAAACATCGTCTTGTGTCACATTCTCAGTGGCTTAAATACCAAATAGTATAACTGTATTTGTGACATAAATTTCCAACACAGCATTTTGCTCAGCATTGGCCTTTAGATGTGCTCTATCAATAAATAGACTTGAATTGATCACATACTGTAAGAGTGGCTTAATCAGATATTAAGAATTATTGCCTAAATGCTAATTTAGTCTGTCTGGTGTCTGGCCTGAGAGCAGGACAAAATTAGCAACAAGACACTGACAGGCGGTGAAATGTGATACAGCGAAATTGTGATACCTATCCGTAAAAATTTAAGAAAAAGGCATAAATTGATTTCCAACGTACATTTGGGTGTGACGAAGTTGCACATCGGGTTGCCGAATGGTAAGAGAAACGCTCGCTGGGTTCCCTAATTAAGTGAAGCACACTTTTTTAGCATAGTGTATAGCCCCCACATGCCCTACAGGACACTAATTCCCAGTGGCAGCTCGTGTCTCTCTTGACTAACCACTCAGATGGGAGCAGGCAGTATGTCGCTGTCTATTGCATAGGTCAAAAGCAATTATGTAAGGCTGGAGGTGAGTCCCAGTACAAGAGAAAAAGCTGGAGAGGCCGTCTACAGGGAGACAGTTAATGTAATTGCTTTTCATCCGCTGTAATTGAAGCTCATTTCCTAGCCGGGGATTCGGTCCTGTGTGAGCTATTTTTATGAACCCATGTTCAATACCTCTGCAATGACTGGGACTGTCACCAGCACGGGACTTACATACAAATGCACCAGCACGCACACGCACACACACACACACACACACACACACACACACACACACACACACACATATACACACACACACACACACACACACAGATTTGCCCTCAAATAGCTTTTCTCTTGTGATTAATTGTGAGTCCGGGGCTGGAGATTACAGGTGTTTTTGGGTGTTCTGGGAAATGCAAGATGGAGGAGAAGTGGCGACCACAAGGAGCTGTGGGCAAGGGCCTGGGTCCTGTTACCGCTTCTGTGAGTGAAGAGGCGCTCCTGTCCCCCCACAACCAGCCTGTTTTAGCTCCAGATAAATCTCGAGGGGACAGCTGGGGAGGAAGGGCATCAGTAAGCACATTCCCAAACGCACACATACATCCATCCCCCGTGGACTAAAAACTCCACCGCAGAGGGCCACATTCCTCACCTACCACAGCGTTAGGTAAGAAGCGGTGGAAGGAGAGGGAAGTCGTTCACCATCTGTCTCTCGCGATTCAGATTTGCTTCGATTTATATTCAAACTAACTTTTCGTTCAAGAGATTGTCAATCTGCGGTATAACTGCCAAACTGTATGTGGGACAATGTGAATTCAAGGGCGTTCTCGAACAATTGCTGTGAATTCTATCAAAGCAAACACCCCACTCTGCAATATTAAGCTGAGCATCTGCTTCTGATTCCCTCGTTCATTAATTCATCTATTACAGAGGTCTCCGCAGGCCACATACAGTGTGCTTCTCCTGCAGCCAAAATCTGCTGACCACAGGGATCAAATTCATCTCATAACTGGCTCCTTCTTCTTAAAGACCATACAGAATTATTTGACAGCTCAGAGACCATCAGTGCGAGATAATCCACAAACACTCAAGGCATGTGTGAGGGATTTCTTTGAGCTTTTATCCATGCCGCCACACACGTTCAGTTCTCAGCTGTCTTACCTAAGGCCCAGGTATCCACAGGTCAGACACAGGTCCCAGTAAAGGTGTCAGAGGAATATAGATCCCCAGGTAGGTTTGTGTCCCGCAGGTTGTGTGGTAATGCCTGCCCTCCTCTTCGCCCCAGAGAGAGTGAAACCCTATCAGCAGGGCTGCTGCAGTGCTATGGACTGGGCCTGGAGGGTGGGAGGGTAGGGTGGGGTGAATTGAGTAGGGGGGCAAAGAGGGAGGTGGGTGTGGTGTTTCGAGTTAGGAAGTTGATAGGATGGGTGATAATAGCAAGTTGATGGTAAATTAACTTTATTCATCAATGATATTTGTTAAAAATTTAAAAATATAAAGATGAAACATTTTTGTCCCTTTTCCATTTTCTGCCTCTTCACTTAAAATATAAATGAATAACCAGGGCCATTTGAAAATAAGAAATATCTGATGTGAGTAGATTTACAATGATTACAATGATACAATGTATCATATACATATATGTAGGATTTAGGTTCACCTGGAAAATGAAGGTGTAGAATATGACAGCTCATTACAGAACAGTAATTCAACTTCATGAAATCAATTATTATTATCAGCATAGTCAAATCTGTGAGGCTTTCTGACTGACTTTACAAAAGCCTCAAACAACAAACAACATACTCAAAGTCACTTTTACTCAGGCTTTACTCGAGTCAAACAATTTATAGACTAAACTCTGTAAAGCCTTTTCCACCTCAAAGAAGAATGGGACACAATGTAGTTGCATGCATGGCTTTTTCTTGTAAGAACTAAAGTTACCGATGTGTTGACTGAGCTGCAAAATGCACCAATTAGTTCACGTGCAAGGCTCTCTTAATCACGTGTCATGATTGCAAAGATCACTTTTGATCTTCAGCCTCGATTATGATACAACCAGAAGAGCTGTGTATTTCTATCGCTGGTCAAATCTAAGAACTGATCCTGAAAGTCATCAGTTGCCGGTGTAATGATGCAAGGATTGGCCTGATGAGTGTAGTGAATTCCTCCAGTATATGAACTCCCAGAATCTCTTGTCCTTCCCAATCAGGCTGCAAGGGAACATGACAAACAACACAAGAGAACAGAAAATATCTTTCAAGCAGCTACCTTCCTTCCCTGTCACTTGGTTTGTATGAGCCTAGGGGCATTTATGCTTTTGTTGGTGTGTTTCCCTCCCACTCTCACAGTCTCTTTGTACACCCTCCAGAACCTGGCAAACCTTTGGGAATGATTAGCAGCTTCATGCCTGGCTTGCGTCTGGCAGCAGTTACACTTGTATCACCATGTCAGTCAGTTCATCATCGGTCCCGTGCTTTTAAGTTCCAGCCAAGTTTATCAGGTGTTTGATAAATCGCAGTGTCAAATGGAAATTTGAATTTGATGTTATGGTTCATCATCGCCAAAGTTATAACAAGTCATCCTGTGGAAGAGACGAACGTCTGTACCAAATTTCATGACAATCCATCCAATGATTGTGGAGACGTTTCACTCAAAAAGTTATTATCGAGCTGGTCAATCATTACAAATGACCTTCTAGTAAAACAGATGAGATAATAATGAAACAGAAAATAATAAAGGAACCAAAATGAAAACCCTAAAATGACCAAACAAAATAAGAAGGAGGATGGCCATTATTTGTACGTGATCTGACCTGCCCCTAAACCCTGACCCTTGACCCCAAAACACTCTGCTTTGCTGACCCAGAAACATGGTGTGAGGAAAGATCCTCTTTGGCAGAGCAGTGAGAGGAGACAGGATGTACGAGGTAGCACTTCCCCTCCACCCACAATCACATTGTAAAAAAGCCATTAGAATTAAGAGTTTAGCACTGGGCCAAATAGCTGGAGATTATAAGCTCCAAAAATAGGTGAAATGAGCTGTGTGTGTGTGTGTGTGTGTGTGTGTGTGTGTGTGTGTGTGTGTGTGTGTGTGTGTGTGTGTATGTGTGTGTGTGTGTGGTGCAGCTGAGTGAGAGAGGAATTATCAGAGATGGGGAGAGAGACCAAAAGAGGAGAATTGCAGAATGAATTTGGTGATATGGCCAGGAGTTAAAAGAGCCACTTCAGTCATTACTGTAAGTGCAGCTACAGCTTTTATGTATTTCTAAAATCCAGTGGCCTAGTTTGTGGAAAAACGAATATGCTACTGCACACTGGAGCGATTTGTGTGTGTGTGTGTGTGTGTTGTGCCTTCCACTAGCACAGCAGCTAAGCTTACCAGTGGACCTGAATAGGACTAAAGTTAGCTGCTAAAGTTAGCCCCGTCTGTCACCTGATCCCAGTCAAGGGTCAAAGGTTAGATCCCTTTCTGTGGGCATGGTTGAGTTTCACATTTCTGAAGCCATCAGGTGGCTGCCATTAAACTGCTCTGAAATGTAAGCCAACAGTCCGACCAGCTACAATGATCAGATATTGTAAAAATCGAAAAATTAGTTTGTACTTTGTACTATTTTTTATCTTCTCTCATTCATCTCAATTACCAAATATACTGTGTGTCTGCAGCTAGGAAAAGATAAGATATAAAGTGAAAACTATATATTTTTTTCCCAGACAGGTGTGTATGACTGTTACCTTACATGTTACTGACATTTTACCAAGGTAAAATCAGTAATGAGAGGGAGGAGATGATAAACCGTGTCTGGATGGCAAATCCTACAGTGCCTCCATGTGGTGAGCATTTAAAAAAAACATTACCTTAATGCCTTAACTGTTGCTTTTGAAGACTGTGTTTTTGATCTCTAAACCGCCTAAATCCTGAGAGAACAATTAAGCTGTTATTCTCGCCCAAAAGAGAGAACAGGGTAAAAAAAAAAAAAAAAAAACTAAGGGAGGGAGGGGGGATTCTGGGGACTGGTGTGGGAGCCGGCGGTGACGTGGGTGACAGAGGAAGAAACAGAGTGACAGCTGAGGTGAGTCATGTCTATTTTTATTCAGCTGCATGTCCCTGTGTAAAAGAATCACAGCTAAACAGACACGTTTATGCCTCTCTTGTTCCATATCAGCAGATCAGAAATCAAGTCTACTGTAAAAGCCCCCCCACCCCACCCCACCCCCTCACTCGTTACAAGCTGTGAAAAACTACAGGAAACCAAAGCACACACCGCTGCAGAGTACAACTAAAAAAAAAAAAAAAAGAAAGACACTCAGGATCATCAAACACAAATCCTTAGACTATATATTACAAAGGGGGGATTTGTTAGTACTTCAAATTTTCTGATATGCTGTTGTCGGATGGCAACAGGTACTGCAGGATGTTTCCAGATTGTGCAGCTAAAAGTCAAATCTCATCATTGTTTCTATAATGTCACTTCATCAGTGTCTTTTCATCTTTTTCCCATCCTCGACTACTAGTCCATCTCTCTTACAACACTCTTGTCTTTTCACATCCTCTATTCTTCTTTATTATGTTTAACCTTAATTCTTTAATCATTCAATACAATATTTACAGAACTTTATTTTCCCATTATTTTTCCCAGCATCCCTCTCTGTCCTTTCAATCTGCAGTTGTTCTCCTTTTTTCTTTAAACCTTTTCTCAGGTTTCCACACCACATTTCCTTTGCAAAAAACACAGTGTTCCCTTCAACTATTACCTAATGCATTGGATAAAAGAGTCAGTGATTAAATGTTGGTGATAAAATGTGCTACATGTGTGGCTGATCCAAACAGATCTTGTGATAAAATGTGGCTGATAAAACCTCAAGCTGCAGCCCTAAACAACAACATTACAATACTAAAAACACATAGACTTATTTGGAAAAAAAAAAAAAAAAAAGTTTCTTATGTCCAGACCGGAATCCGTTTTAGTGCATAGTGGATCCAGGGCGCCAGACACAAGGCTGCAGACCCAGGTTGGAAGTGCTGAACCTGGGCCTGGGTACCCTGGCAGGCTGAGTGCTGCTGGTCACCGGCTGAGAGGCACCAGCGGGACCCAGGGGGCTCAGATCTGGAGCACTCTTAAACGCCCTGTTGGCCTGCGCGGTGGTGGAGGGCTGATGGTGGGAGAACGTAGGGGTCTGGACTGGGTTTGGAGCAGGAGCAGAGGAGAAGGTGGAGAAGGTGGGGAGCTGAGGGAGCGGGGCATTAGGGGCGGGAGGCACCGGGGGAGACAGAGGGGCAGCGGCCCACTGAGGTTGGTGAGGTTGGGGTTGAGGCTGATAGGGTTGGTAGGGTGCAGGAGCAATTGTGGGTGGAGGGGACACGACATCAGAGCGCCACAGCGGTTCTCCAAGTGTTGTAGCTGATCGAGGGACGATGACTTTGAGGGCAGGCCCTGTTGCCATGGGAGGGGGCGTGGAGAAACGCTTCACCTCATATACTCGTGCTGTTTTCTGAGGACCACCTGTCATTCCTCGCTGCTGCTGCTGCTGCTGCTGCTGGTAGGTGGAAGTGTCCTGGGGAACCCCGCCCCCATAACTGAACAGGGTAGAGTTGAGCTGGTAGGGCTGATGGTTCATAATGTCCAAAGGCTTCATGCCCGCTTTCTGCCCTTTAGATCCAGCTGGCCCAGACTTTTTCACTTCGGGCTTCTTCTGGGCCTTCAGGGGGCAGGAGGGGGAGAGGAGGGGGTTGTAGCTGATGGGTGGTGGAGCACGGATGTTTGAGGAGTACTTCCAGGTGGCAGGGAGTGAAGGTGTGGGTGAGGGCTCCCTTGTCTGGGCAGGAGAGTAAGGTGCTGCAGCGACAGAGGGAGATCGCTCCACAACGTAGCGATCCATCCTGTTTTGTCTGCGGGCAAACAGCTGACCTCCCTTCCCCTCCAGCTGTGGCACCTGAGGGGTTTGAGGTTTTGGGGCAACAGGGGGCGGCCTGGGTCCTCGCTGAGCCTGCATGAAGTTGCAGGCCTCTGCCCCCAGCCTCAGCCAGTCCTCCTCAGGCCCCGACTCATGCCCAGCCTCCCCGCTGGGTGCAACTCCAGATTCAGCACCCGGGGCTCTAACAAAGCGGTCATCCATGTTCTGGACCATCGACAGCAAGTCTGGGTTTGGAGAAACATCTTTGTTCTGGACTGCGCAAAACATTGGCTTCTTGTTGCTACGACGACGGGCATCATTCAGGATGCCGGTGCGAGAGGCGGGGACAGAGATGCGCTGCTCACGTGTCACAAGTGAATCAGCGGCAGGAGCCTGGGGAGGTGATGCAGTTTCCATGGCGACGTGGGGGCTGGGAGTCATTGTACCTGTCGTGTTGATGTAAGGGTGGACGGACGGAGATGGAGAAGGTGGAATGGGAGGAAGAGGATGGGTGGGCTGGGCATGGAAGGAGACCTGAGTCGGATCAGGGGGATGTGGTGGGGAGATGGGAGGAGCAGTCATGCAGGTGGAGGGAGGTGGGTAAGTAGGAGCAGGAGGAGAGGGAAATGACAGTGGAGCTGGAGGGGAGAAGGGTTGAGCGGGTGATGGACAAACTGCGGGACCTTGAGCTACACAAGGAGGGAAGGGGGCGGAGGGGGAAGCATGCACGGCAGACTGAGGTGAAAATATGTGTGGGTTCGCAGGAGGGTGGGAGAAAGACAGGGAGGAGGGAGGCGAGAGAGCTGAGGGGGGGGAGTTAACAGAGGGGTGAGTGTTGCTGTTGTTATTTCTTGCAGGGATGTACAGAGAGGTGCTAGACACCGCTCTCCTCGTATCTGGCGCTGATGGATGGCGAGTGGGTGAGATAGTCACCATGGAGACGGCCGCCACCGGTTTGGTCGCCATGGTTATGGCTGTGGGTTTGGGTTGGGGAGGGCGAAACATCACTGACGTCACAGAGGCGCGAGGAGGGGTAGGGCCAGGGGTGAAGGGGCGTGCAGTGCGGTTCAGAACACCTGTATTAGGATTGAAGTTGGCGTTCAGGTGATGGTCTGAGTCTGTGATTGGACTAGGACTAAGATTAGGATTAGGACCAGGATTAGAGTTGCCATGTTGCCCATTTTGACTGGGTAGGGGTGTCTGAGAGGGCGGGCTGAGAACTACACTAGCCCGACTAACAGCTACTGACCCCCCATTGGTCAGAGCCACAGCTGGAGGAGACATGTGTGCAGCGTGGTTACTGATTGGCTGCTTCGTGACGCCACGCTCCAGCCTTGAACCCTGATAGGCTGAGCACTCCAGCCCTGAGACCTCCAACCCGGGGCTTTGTTTGACTGGGGTCAGAAGTCCTGGAGTCTGATAGGCTGAGATGTCCAGCCCTGGGCTGTGATTGGTTGCTGGTGTTGTTGGAGTGGTCGGTGTAGTTGACGGGCAAGCAGAGCTTCTCCTGTCCAACAGGTCTAGATAACCACTATCCCACGTGGGATCAAATGATCCTGAGAATCCCTCTTCATCAACCTCTGAGCCACTTAGGATGGAACTTCCTCCTTCCTCCTCTGTCTCTCCTCCTGTCTCCCCTTCTGTCTCCCCTCCTCCGTCTCCCTCAGCTTTGCCGAAGCAGGTCAGTGTGTACTTCTTTGCCCTCTGCCGGCGTTTCTTGAACATAAGCACCCCTTTGGAGTTGGGGTTGGGAGCATCAGTCAGCAAAGAGGCAATAGAGCGGCATTTAGTACGAGCTTCTTTCACCTGTTTCTCCACCAAACTCTCCCCACGCTGTAACTCTGCAAGACAGGAAGAGGAAAGAGAGAGAGAGAGAAACCTAAATGATTATGCCGAAAGAGAGAAGAAACAAAGGAGAGAACCGGTAATGGGATTTTTGATGAACACCTAACAAGCTGCAGGCGACAAATAATCGAAGCAAAACAGTGTGATAGCCCTCGTTGACTGCAAATAGTGCCTGATTTCTATAGTATTATCACAGTGAGGAGCTGCAGTGAGGATTAGCAGTGACAGACAGGAGTGTGTGTTGTGGATTTAGAACAAAGAATTCCTGCTGCTCTCCAAAGTTGAGTCACATACACTCCGGGAAGGTTAGATCAGAGTGTCTCTCTTGGGCAAATGGTTGTTTGTGCCTGTGTGTGTGTGTGTGTGTGTGTGTGTGTGAGTGTGTGTGTGTGTGTGTGAGTGTGTGTGTGTGTGTGTGAGTGTGTGTGTGTGTGTGTGAGTGTGTGTGTGTGTGTGTGAGTGTGTGTGTGTGTGTGTGAGTGTGTGTGTGTGTGTGTGAGTGTGTGTGTGTGTGTGTGAGTGTGTGTGTGTGTGTGTGAGTGTGTGTGTGTGTGTGTGTGTGTGTGTCTGTGCATGCCACATGTGTGCCTCTCTGTTTAGTCCAAGGCCATTTGAGTCTCTTGGCTCACCTCACTACATAACTATAGTCTAATACTGTCAGGTTTACCAAAGCATAACAAACAATAATCCCAGAATCAAACCTGATGTTTCTGTTGCACAGTTCAGACATTTCTACATCCGGAAATTGATGCTACCCTCCACAAGACGTGATATAACAAGGCTTAAAGGAGAGAGCGACTCTACACCCATGCTAGCAGTATGTAGAGAAATGCTACGCCTAAATGCTAATACAACTTAGCACTAAACATAAACAATAGCAGAGGCCAGTCAGAATTACGCTGGTTTTGCAGGTATTTAGTCATAAAACAAAAGTCTTGCACAAATTAAAATTCTGACCCAAATATGGTGCTACAGGAAAGATTGAGGGATCACCAAAGTTAAGACGTTCTCACTGAGAGGGACATAGATAAATAGATACTTAGATAGATACTTTATTTATCTCCTAGGGGAAATTCATGACATGAATGTCTGTGTCAAATCTTATGGCAGGCCAACCAATAGTTGTCCCGCCATTGTCATGTAAATACATAAAAACAAAAGTGTCAACTAGCTGGGAGCAGAGGAGGAAAAGTCAGCGGATCACCAAAGTCATTAGGATTCATCCCCCTGGGGATCATGAATGTCTGTGCAAAATCTCATTCTTATCCACCCAATAGCCGTCGAGATATTATCGTCTGGACCAAAGTGGTGTAGCGACAGACCGACATTGCTGTCCATAGAGCCACGCTGCCATCATGGCTAAAAATAACTATAAATAATCTGCAACTTTGGTCACTTTTGCTTTATGTGTCTGACCCATAGTAAGTAAAGTAGCTTCATCAAGTTGATAAAACACTCCAACAAAGACACATCGGCTTATATCATGTGTCTTTAAGGCTTAAAACCACAAAACGAGATGCACAATCGCAGGTAGAGGGACTCATTAACTCATCCTCACATCGAAATCATTTACATCAGGATCAACAGTCAATTCCATGAAGTACAATAATGAGAATTACATTAATGCTCAGATTTCTCTGGTGTTGACATGGCATAGAAATGAGGTCATCCCCCTTAATCTGAAAGAGAAAACAACACTGATGTGCATCTCCCCTAATGTGAGCAAGTCCGTGTGTAAATGAAGTTACGTGCACATACCTGCGTACACAGTGTGTGGGACTGTGTGTCCACCTGCGTCTGAACCTGAAAGAGATGTGAGGTCCCTCATCTCACAAGCGTGAGTGTGTGCGCGTGTGTGTCCTTAACCTCCCTCAGACCCTCCCACACACACCTCCTCGCAGTGTTCGGTTCTGCTCTGAGCGGGGGAACCGTTCTGTCTCTTTCTTCCAGTTCTTCTCTCAGGGCACAGCCCATGTAAAGACCTTTGTCTCTGTCCAGCAACCCGAACCAACACATGATGTCAACCCACTATTCCTGTCTGTCTGACAGGCATCAAACACCTGTCCAGTCTCTGTGTCATACACACACACACACACACACACATACACAAGGACAGGAAGACCCCTCACCAGCAGTGTCATTGAGTGTGTGTATATGTGTGTTTGTGTGTGTTTGTCGTATGAGTTCATAAAGCCAATTATAGGTTATAGAGGGAAGTGCGGTCATAACTCTTTGCTGATGTGCCATTCTCTGCTGCTGACACTTCATACCTAACAACCACCTCACACACAGACACACAACTCTAGCAGAGCTAACAATCCCACCAAGTCTAAAGCCCAAAGGCAAAGTGTGTGTGTGTGTGTGTGTGTGTATGTGTGTGTGTGTGTGTGTGTGTGTGTGTGTGTGTGTGTGTGTGTGTGTTTGTAACGTGAGAAAGGGCAGGTCCCTGGACACCTCATCATCATCATCCTATAGTAAAGCCCCAACGTAATCATTCAGGCCTTCAGCTTCTTGTACCAGAGGACAGATCCCTCATTACTGCAACAGTCACTCATATCACGACTCAGTTACTCAGTGTGAGCAGCTGTGAACACTAGTGCCTTGTTGAGATCAGTTAACCAGACAAAGTCAATAAGAGTTTATGAGATTAAAGAAATTGGTCGAACTTTTTGGGAAACACACTTATTTGCTTTCTAAGTTCTAATGCTAATGCGCCACAGTTTTTGTACAGATTAAGGAAATGAGATGTAACATGTTTATTAGTGAGCTTTTGTTACTTGATTCGTTATTAGTTTTGTTACATTTGGACCTTGTTTTTGTTTCCAGTCTTTATGCTAAGCTAAGCTAAATCCCTCCAGGCTGTAGCTTCTTATTTACCCTGCAGTTATAAGAGTGGTATCAGTCTTCCCATCAAACTCTAACACAAATAACCATATATTCCCTATTCCACTATTACCATAAAATGACACCTCAGTATACAACAGTAATTATATTTAGCGATTCATTCAGTGGTTCCCAACCATTTTTGCTTGCGGCCCCTTAATACGAAGCAACGTCTTCTTGCAGCCCCTTGCTGAAATGTAACCTTATTAGACAGTTTCATTTGAATGTTTTTTGGGGCCTTCAAAGATAAAACTAATCATTATTTCAAAAGTAACAGGAGAAAAAATTAATTAAAGTCTGAAAAACAAATTTAATTTTATGTAGCAGCTTCATTTTTCTTATTTCCTAACCCCACAATTATCTAAGGACGCCTTAGATTCATCTCACAAACGTTTGTCCTCTATTTTTCAGTTGGATGGATTTATTGTTTGACCTATTAAATGTCAGAAAGTATGGAAAATTACATCCCAGATCCACAGGGGACGACTTCAGGATTATTATTGTCTGGCCAACAGTCCAAAACCCAAACATATACAGGTTATAATGATATAAATGAGAGAAAACTTAGTTAGATTTGTTGCTTAATTTTCTGTTGATTGATTAAACAGTGATTCGGCAAATCATTTCAGTGCTGGAAACATTGACATTTTACTGATACAAACCCTACTCTGCACAGCCGACTAACACACGCATACACGCAAACGTCAGAAACACGCACATACATACACCACATATTCAGCTGTGTGGCCTGTAGGCCTAAGTCAGAGATGCGGCCAATCTGTCAATCAGAAGTTTTCAGTGCCTATAAATACAGCCAGTGAGGCAAATACCCAGAATACTGACAGAAGAGATAGACTCCTGTTCCAAGGGACAGAGAGGGGTGGGGGTGGGTGGGGGGGCTTCCTCTGTAAGTATCTGGTATATCTCACCCCATCACCACCAGCCTGTAACTGTAACAGGATGCTCCAGTTACACAAAATAACCACTAGAGGGTGATCTGGCTAAGGATTTGAGCCGAACTTCATAGGATGCCTTTTGGAGACACCAGGGGAATTTTTGGAATTTAAATTAAAAAGCAGAAACGCTGTGGTCAAGAAGAAATAGCTGCATTAGCTTGCGGAAAGTACAGATGTTCCTGTTTTTGCTTTCATACCCTCAAAATTGATAGATGCAAAAGTTTGGATCCAATGTGCCCAGTTTCCAAACTGTATTCAGCCTAACAACAATTATTGGCTGGAAATTTAATGGGTGAAATTGACAAACACATCCATGGCATGCTGTAAAGGATAGTTATAGTTGGCTTTGTAGCATCAGTTATATATTATCTTTATGATGTCTGGAACAATTACCATACACGAATAAAATCGCAGTAGCCTCTAACTTATCTGACTAAGGACTATTTTTTCCAAGAACCCCGACTTTCTAACTCCTCCCTCTTCTTCGTTATCAGCTCACTAGTGTTAGTTGGTGTGTGTTATTGTTTTCTTTGCCTTTACAAAAGAGAATGAAGATGTTGGAGGGGATTTTCCCATCATCTTTTTACTTATTGCACAAGTTTTTATGTGAATTGAACAATGGTTTACTGTTCACAAACTGTAGAAGTGTATAACTTTGTATGTGCATTTTCTCTTTTTTCCCTTGTCCTTGTACTCTCCGGTTTTAGATTTTGAAAACTTTATGACCTGTATGGTTGTGCTGTAGTTTTTTTTATGAAGATATATACTCACTGGCTTGCCGTGCTTTGTCCATGTAGGTGGTGGAGAGCTCATCGCTGACGGGGGTCAGCTGCGGTCCCACCATGGGCACCAGTTGTTTACTAGAGCCCAACATCAGCGCCTCTTTCGCCCGTTCAGGAGACACCAGGGGTGGGCAGGTCAGCCCAATGCAGCCCCCCGCCTCCTGGAAGCCACTGTCACCTTCTCCCTCCGCTTCCACCAACCCCTGATCGGGGGTCGGGGTGAGTGTGTGAGGGGTCAGAGTGTGTGGGGTGTGCGCTGGAGTGGTCCACTCTGTCTGGGGGGGCTGGTAGATTAGCTCTCTGCGAGGGACGCCAGGAAGACACTGACCATCCCACTGCCCCTGCGTGGAAAGCCCTGCATCTGTGGCGCTCTCATACCTGAGATCGATGACAGAAGGCAGCAAAGATAATCATTATCAGAATGATGTCTCGGAAAAAAGTGATACAAGAAATGGCAGAATACATCGGACAGGAAGTGAGAGAGAAGACTTCAGGTCTCGTCTCCTACCCGCTCATCTCTGAGGTCTCCTCTTCTTCGTTGTCATAGCGCGCAGGTGAGCGTGCATGAGGAGGTGTGCGGCGCTGGCGGCGGTGAGTGTGTGACTGTGTGTCTGCGTCACTGTCCGTTTCTCCGTAGTAGGCTTCGCTGTCCGGAGGGGAGGTGATGCCTCTGGGGGAGAGGATGGAGGGATGGAGGGAGGGCAAGGGGGCTCCGGGGGGAGACAGGACCCTCACGGAGGAGCGGGGCGATGCAGAGCAACCAGAATAAGATGAGGAGTGGAATCCAGAGGGGGCCCTGGAAACATCCAAACATCCAAAATGAGAAACATGCGTCAATGGGTATGCCTTCATGTAACAAGGTGTGTGGTGTACTGTATGTGTGTGTGTGTGTGTGTGTGTGTGTGTGTGTGTGTGTGTGTGTGTGTGTGTGTGTGTGTGTGAGTCAGAGATCTGACCTTTTAACCCTCAGGCTGAGTGTCGCACTCTGTGCATCTATGAGGCTCATGGCCTGAGCATGACTGAGCTCTTCACACATGTGGTCGTCGATGGAAACCAGCTCATCATGCTCCTTGAGTCCAGCTCTGCAGGCTTTGCTGCGCCTGCGTACCTGCAGAGAGGAAAGAGGTTAATAACATATTAATACATAAAAGCACAGTGAATATACTTTTTACAATTTATTGTCCAGTGTCCCGCCTAATCTACACCTTCCACTTGCTGCTTAACTCTTTAGACCAGTTGTTCCCAACCTTTTGGGCCCGGGACCCCTGTTGTTGTTATTCTAACAACTATGAACACTGAGACTGAATGGGCTGAAAGCAACACACACACACTGCTCTGGTTTCCACTGGAATTGTTTCACTTTTCTGCAAACGAAAACTTACACCATGAAAATATTTTAAAGATGCTGTAATCACATCAAAATTCTACACAGTGGCTTAAATTAAAACATATTTTCTCAATCGGATTCTATGGATGAACCACTAGTTACTGACAAGGTTTTATATACACATGAGATGTATTTATTTTCCTGTACTCTTCTCACTGGTTTGAGTTAGGGCTGTCACGATATCAGATTGTCACAACAACATTGTCGCGGCTAAACGAATTCACAATGACAATATTATCGGGATATCTGATGAAAACTTGAAAAAAATATATAATAATGCTGTCAGTCAAATTCATCTTTAACTTTGTTTATTGTGTGTTTTGTCTGTTTTTTGGCAAATGAATGAGACTCAAATACAAGTGCAGGGAGGTGGAGAGAGAGTCTGTAGCGATAACTGTACAAAAGCGAACATAAAGAACACTTAATGAATAATGAGGAGGCAACAAGATGAACTGATGAGCATCTTCCATAACCATATTATCATAGGTGTATTATTATCACGATGTCAATATTTCATTTATTAAATATCACGGTTATCATCAATACCGGTTTATCACAACACCCCTAGTTTGAAGTGGGAGGGGCTCAGCAGGAAGAGGATGATGTGAAGCATATCTGTGCACCAATAAGGATTTAGCAACATTTGATTTAGAGGAATCAGACCACTGTCAATCAAATCAGACCAAAGTACACCCACTAACCCTAAGCCACTAAACCCTGACCTTAATAAGTGAGGGTGTTTTTTCTTTCATTTTGATTTTTGCTTTTTTAATGAACAATATTTATCATTATAGAAAAATGCTTGAATAAGAAAAAGAAAAAAAAGAAAAGAGTGTTGCGAGGTGTTAGTCAGTGAGAGCGCTCTTCTACGAAATGGCCTTTAAAGTTCTCCGACTTGTAGCACAGCTCTCCTCTGCTGGCAGCTCTCACCGTCCCTGGATCAGAATAACTCATGAAGTCACGCAGCTGTTCCTGGAGGTCGCCGAGAGATGATGTCATAGGACCCTTCAGGAAGTATGTGTGGTGGGGGGTGGTTGATAGATGGGATAAAGGGGAAGGCGAGTATTCTTGTCCGCTAGATTTCAGTTTCCTCTAAAAGAAGAGGATAAGGCCCCTCCCCCTCTGCGCCCTAACACTAATGCGAACACCTTATCGCTGCTGAAGGTAGAAATGTTGAGTGTGTCCTAGCACCTACTTGGATTCTCTAAAGAGGACACGGTATTTCCCTTTATCAGTGTCTCTTGACCCAATAATCCCATTCCACCATCACGTGACCACACGCAAAGGGAAAGCTATCTATCTCAACTCAAAGTATATACACACACACACACACATACGTATACACACACACACACATACACGCACAAGTGAACATCATGACAGAGGGGGTTTAAACAGCTGCATCACTAGTCTGGACCAAGGGGCATTCCTGTCATTCAGCATATGTTCCTCACAGACCCAAAATAAAACCTTGCGGGAAAATCAACCACATTCCTAGACGGATGAAGGAAGACAGGAGCCAGTGTGATGTGTGCACAAAAAATAGGTTAAAAAGTTTAAACACTTCAAGAGACAGAGAAGTCCAAGTGTGTGTGTGTGTGTGTGTGTGTGTGTGTGTGTGTGTGTGTGTGTGTGTGTGTGTGTGTGTGAACAAGAAGCCTTTTTCCATGCTCAGCTTCCAGCTCCTCTTAAATGAGCTATTCTGATCCTCGAGTTGGAGCTCCATTCCCAACCAGGCTTATCTGAGTTATGCCCAACCACACACACACACACACACATATACACAAACAACAGATTACACACAACCATACACCAACAAGAGGGAAACACACACACATACACACACTGATCAAACCCTCATTAAAGGTGACCTTATCTGCTTGAAAATCCTGGATAAAGACAGGTCTTTGGCGCCAGAGCTACTCTGCCTCCATCTTGAATCAGGGGTTATGACAGCTTACGAGTGACTGGCCAACTTTTAACGTCAGCGCGAGCCAGGTCACATTCCTCCTCTCCAGAATAGCTTTTCTTATTAGAGACGACATTCTGGTCTGTCAGCAAATATAAACGCAGATATGAAAAGACTCTGGAGAAACCAAACCGCAAAAAAAAAAAGGGAAAAAAAAGAGAATATTATTTGGATTAAATTTGTCTAATAAATAAGTGACAGTGACATATCTTAGTAGATGTATTCAGGTGCATAACTACAGACACATGCAAACACAGCATCAGTTTAACGAGCATGCTCACACATTAACTGTGCGTTAACCTATTTGAAAGAAACGCCCGCTGATCTTGACTGAACTGTATGATCGTCATCAATAGGATGCAGTACTGAAACCCGAGCCATGATCAACCCCCCCCCCAAAAACATGTTCACACTGTTCTCTGTCCCACAAACCAAGCAGCAGGAGAGGGTGAAATTGAGGCTATGGCCAATTGAGTAAAGGAAAATTGTTCTTCCTAAGTATATCCTCGAGGTGCTGCTGCATGAAGCGTAAGAAACATGATCAAAGCATCTCAAGAAACAGTAGGAAAGTGGCTCTTTTTGGAGTAATAATTACCTAATTACATAAGTTTAATATGAAAAGACATCCTGATTGATATCCTAATTACTGTAGAAGCATTTCAGTATGACTTTGCCCATCAGACTAAACCCTCTCCAGTTCAGTGATGCGAACAAAAAATAGTAGACCGACAAGAGTACTTGTATTTAGTCATTTTCCACCACAAGACAATCCCACAGTAACCAGAGATTTGAGCTCTTAGTGCAACGAGCGACTGATTCATTTTTTTCTGATTTTATTTTCACTATAGTGTTCCTTGCAAAAGCTTGGATTACCTACAGCACAAGACTGACCACCAAGGCCTCAGACCTCAATTAACAGCTGCAGTCTCTATTAAACCCATCTACTCATGTTACCACCAAGGCAGTGAGTCCTGTCGACAACATACTGTACACACACACACACACACACACACACACACACACACACACATGTTCAAACACACACGCATACATGTATATGAATATATAAAGGCTCCACTGTACCTTGGCCACCTGTAGAGGCTTTTGCTGCTCTGCTCCTCCCTGCAGCCTGAAGCCCCACGGGGCTCCTCCTGAGAGGGAGACCACGATCTCCTCCGCTACCATCCCAGCTCACAGCCTGCTGTGTGTATGAGGATGTATATGTCGCTCTGCCCTTCTTGAGTTCCTCGAACTCGGCGCGTATCAATGAGCGAGCGTGAGGCTTCTGTGTCTCCCTGTGACCACGGCAAAGTCACTCCACCCACGAGGAGACAGGAGGTGGCTGGCTTTCATCTGCTCGCACTGGAATGCTGTGTCGGAAGGGGGGGGGGCACTCAGGAGGGTGAGAAGGGGCAAAAGTGTGTGTGTGTGTGTGTGTGTGTGTGTGTCCATCCTCCCTTGTATTCAACACTTGCCATGTCACTCTCAAGCACTCTGTACAGGAGGGGATGCTTGCTGATATACCCTCCCGAAATAACCACCAGCACCACTCCCTCTTCAACCCCCCCCCCCGGCTCAGCCAGCCCGGACAGCAGCCGCGGCTCACAGATTTGTCTTCATCTACCCACAGTACTCCAACCCTAGGGTACAGAAAGGGGGTGAGAAGAAGAAATATTTTAGGAATTTCAGTTGGTTTACTGTCTATACATTTTAACAGCCTCAGAGTGGGTGCTACGGGGAGTTGAGCTCCAGCTGCCTCCCAGGAAATATCATTTCAAGCTCCTCTGCAGTGTTGGATAAGATGATGAATACTGGCTCTCAGGCTGCTGTGCATCAGCTTCAGCACCTCTGACTTTGCAGAAGAAAGGCAAGCGATCACAGAATTTAGGTAGCCAAAATGACTGGGCCCACCTGATCAAACCCATGCCAGATTTGTGATGAATCGCACGTTAGAATAATTTCAAATTTGGGTTGATGCCAAAGAGATTCTGGCTCAAAGTCCCATTAACTGGAAGTGATCCTCAGCCCACATAGCTTCACGTTTGCACCCCGAAAATGGGGACAAATCTGGCAGATATATATTGGCATGAGCTGCATGGCTTACATTTGGTGGTGCTGGAAGACAGCCCGCATGTGCTGACACTTTGGCACAATTGACCCAATTTAGATGGCTACCTCTTGTCACATTATCATTATTTGATAGATGAGTGGGAGTATCAACATAGACCTAATGGCTCTCAGTCTGAGGGAAACTTAATAGAGCCAAGAAGGGTTCTTTTCCATGGCAAAGCTGGTGTGAAAACGGACACGTTCCCCCCACCTGCCTGTACTTTGTACTTGTTTCAAAATTACCATCTCAAAAGCTAGAGAAACAAAGTGCAATTCTTAAAGTCTCCTTCCTCTCCTTTTTAATGGCGGGTGGCATTATTCCTTTTCCTTCTACTTGGCCAAATTAAATTTCCATGGTATTATACTGCCTCCTTGGCTAGTGTATCTGCCAGTCCCAGCTCAAATTCAGTCCCTTGAATTCCCCTGTGAGCTGGAACACAAATTCATGTAACTGATATATTCATTTTTCGAAATCTGAATTATGTTTCACATTTATCATTTATTATGTCCTGTCTACTCTGAGATAAGAATTCTGAACTAAAGTCTGAACACAAAAAGGCCTTGTCTAGTTTCACCTGTTGTACCCACAATAAAGACATAACAATTGCTACCACCTCAACTGTATAAGTGGAGAATGAAAATCCTGCTCTTCCATTTGGATCTGTAGACTCATCTGTATTAACTGCAACATAACTCTTACACAGTTTGCAGCCTTTCTTCAGCATAGACAGATACATTTCCATGTAACTGACTATTCTCCTGTATATCTTAAGGCTAAGTCTGCTGATACTGAAGGGAATAACTCATGGTGGTGCTGGAGTCTTGAAATAACATTAAGCTCCTATTTTTTACAGTGAACCTCTTGGTCTTGGACTGCTGTCAATCACCGGTGCTGTGGTCCGGTGGCTCCGGTACAGTAGAGGAGGTGAGCGTGGAGGAAGTCCCTCTGCGGGTGTCCGGATGTGGACGTGGCACAGCGCTGCAGCAGTTCCGCTGAATGTCCGCTTCTGATACCGAGGAGGGATTAGTGAGAAACACCCCGGGACGACATCGGCTCCAGAGTTTGTCGGCCACCGGGTATCACAGTTTTCTCCGAACAGAGGATAGCCTTTACTATTTTCAACACTTCGGAGGTAGGTTTCGATTTGAGACCAGTTGTTGTGTGACATCCCTGCCCAATTTGACAGGGGAGCTTGGATTTTGCTACGTTAGCTCAATGCTAGCTAATGCTAAGACACGGCTAGCATCGCTCGGCGAAATACCTGGAGGTTTACTAGCTTAGCTGGTGGGCTAACTGTTGCTAGCTCCGGTTGTGGCGATCCGGCCACAGCTGATTCAACCCCTGCTGCTGTCATCGTGATCCAAGCTGTCCGGCTGTGAGCGTTAGCAGGTCAAGTTTGCCCTCATGACTTGAAAGTTTGCTGAACAAAATGTGTTGTTCTTAGACTTGTGGCTGTTAGCAGCATCATTTGTTGAACTAGGCTGTGTTTTGAGATATTGGCTGACATGTTGTGTTGCTAATGTTAGCTAGCCAGCGAGCTAATTGTAATGCGGCACTGAGGTTTGATCCCGTTAACACACTGCTACGCTCGCCAGCTTTTCCTGTTGTCACACTTTACCCCCTCCGAAGCTGGTGATTGATTTTCTTCTCAAATGTCTTTGATCCCGAAGGATTTCGAAACTGCTAACCCAGTTCCCTAATTGTGCAACCCCAGCCAGGGGAGCAGATGTGGGTCACTCAGTAGGCCCGACATACTAAATAGCAGTACGGCTCCAGCGATTGTATTTCTCGTTGTGGCACCTGCACTGCTGAATTATTCAAAGGCCCCGCTCGTTTAGCCCGTGTTTGTCTGTTAGATGATACTCATCACTCTGTCATATAGGTTAGGCCAGTCTCCTCAAGCCACGAGAGTAAACTACGCCACTCGTGTACGTCTGTTAGCAAGGGTTAAGTTGTCATGTGAAATGTAAGAAGTAATCATGCACAGAAAGTTGAGCTACCTTTTGGGGCCTTGTCATAACTCGGCTGGTAGGACCTCTAAGCGTTTTACTCAGGCACACGCATGAGTGCACTACACATGACACACTGTCCTCACAGTATCAGGCCTTTAAGTTCACCCTCATTCCTGAGGAAGTATAAGTTACAAGTATTGAGGTTTGTGTCTGTTTAGCTTTAAATTATTGGTTAAGTTTTGGTCTAGGATAAGTGACTTGTGGTAACGGTGTCATGTACAGTAGTTGTTGTTGCTGTGTGTGTGTGTGTGTGTGTGTGTGTGTGTGTGTGTGTGTGTGTGTGTGTGTGTGTGTGAACTCAATAGTAAGTGACAAAGAAACAATCTGAGGGTGTGGCCAAGACAAACACTAAAAGCCAATAAAGGTGTTGTCAATGAACCAGGAAATATTGATGTCATAAGAAAGTTTGATTTGTGACTGACTGTAGAAACTTTAAGAGCTGTCCAGACTCAGTGTTTAAATTTCTTGTTTCTTAGTTCAGGGGCATGACAAACTCTGCTCAGTCTGGATCAAGTTTGTCTTCTTCAGACTGCCTTCAATTCTGTCAGTCTGTTTTCAGTTGAAAACATAAAGGACTGTACTATAGCTAGAGGACCGTTAAGCTAAATTGGACAACTAGTTAGCAGTAAACATTATTTCTAAGAACAGTTGTTTGTGTTTTTGTTGCAAGCAGTGCTGTGTGCAAAGATTCTCCCCACTCCTGGAAAGAAAGGCCGTCCCTTCAGGCTCACTGGAAACCAAACTATCACAAGAGCCATTATCTTTTTCTAACACCTCTACATCATCTCACAAGCTTTTATACTCCAGGCATCTCAGTATACATCCTGGAAACAGGCTAATTAAGTTTAGTCCTAATTGGCGATGAGTCTCTTTATGACTGTGTCACTATTTTATCCAGATTTAGGGATGAACTGAGGATGAATGTAAACCAGCACACTCCAATGGCCTCTCCATACGGCCAGCCCCAGCCTGGCTACAGCCAGCCCGGCTACACTCCCCTGGATGGAGGTTACCCCGCCCCCTACCCACCCTACAACGGCCCTGCTTCAGCTTACCAGCCTGGGGTTCCGCCACAAGGTAAAATGCAGCTTCTGAGCGACAGTGCGTCTGAATGAGTGACAGTGAGAGAGAGTGATACCAGTACAGCTGTGATGCTCCTCAAGCATTCACAACGCCATAACCTTGGAGTGTCCTACCTGCTTCCTGCCATGTGGGTGATCATGTATGTGTGTGAGAAAAGCACTGTGCCAGTGCACACTAATCTAAATCTCAACTGCCCTCTCATTTCTTCACGTTGCTTTACGCATTTCCCACATCTCTCTGTATTTGCCTTCTTTCCCCTCTTTTCTTGTATTTCAGGTTATTCTCCTTTCACAAGCTTTCCCTCTAAGGCTGTGGCATCCAACCCAGTCTCTGACCTCTCCTCTCCTCTTGACTTAGGTAACTGCCTCCTCTCTTTTTCTCAATCATTTCACACTCCTCATGCTCTGCAATCATCGAGTCCTCTCTGTAGCTACAGGCATTAATCTTGCTGCCACGACCTTTTCTCAGCGTACAATAGAAGAAGTGCTTTTGAGTCAGAGACTATTATTTATAGCAACTAACTAGTTATTAACCCTTTTATTTACCAAAGTTTTGTAGTAACCAGAAATGTCAATTCCGCTTTAATGATGAGAAAGAGATGTTTCCCATTAAACAGCAAAAACAAAGACAAGCTGTCAACCTGACAGATTTTAGGTAGATTCTCATGTTCATTTCCAGCCTTGATCAGATCATTGGTCCCATGAAAACGACTCACCCTCTTAGCGCAGTCCCTGCCAGCCTGGTTTCAGTACGTAGTCTGTGCTTCTAACTCCAGAGGCAAAATTTTGAACTCATTTAGTTCTAAAACGCGGCCAATAGCCATGTTTAGCTTGCTGCACCAATCTCGTCTCATGAGAAAGACCGATATCAGGATTATTCGTAGCAGGTATTTCTGTGTGTAGGTATGTGTGTAATCTTTTGTCCCTGCTTTTCAGGTCCTGCCAGGGGTCCTCCCACCTCTGGACCCCCGCCGGTCTCAGCGCCTCAACAATATAATCAGTACAGTCACAGTCAAGGGGATATGCAGAATGGACCCCCACCTATGACGCAAGCGCCACCCAGGTAATTACATATTTATTGATTGTTCTGTTTAGCAAAAATGTACCTGTGATTTCATTTAAACAACCTGCAGACAAGGGTGACATCTTTGTAGGTGTTTAAAAAAAGAAAAAAAGAAAAAAGAAACCCAAACCCAATTGAAGTGCGTTCACTTGAAGCAGGTTATTCAAATTCTGGAGCCCTCCCTTCAGCTCAGTCACGTGGTTGACACAATCCATTTAAAGACACCAGACAACTGCACTGAGACTGTCTGAACCCCCAGGAGTCGGTGCTCCGCTAACTACTACTCCTGTCGTGTGGTTCGTTAAAGAGTGAAAGCAGAAAACAAGCAAAGCAAATTATTCAAAAACGCACTCAATGTGATGCATATTAAGAGACGGTTGATGAATTGTAATAGACAGCAGGTGCTCGTGCTTAAAACGTAGAGCACAGTAAGTGAACAGAGAGAAGACGGGAGGTCCAGTTGCTGCTCATATTCAGGGCTGTGCGTTTTATGTATGTGCAGGTTTTAAATGCTAAATAAGGTCAGGTTGCTGCAAAGACCAGAGACCAGAAAGGTCCATCAAGCGAGAATTAATGCAGGAAACTCTTGTCATCAGAAAGGATAGATAGATAGATAGATAGATAGATAGATAGATAGATAGATAGATAGATAGATAGATAGATAGATGAGCCACTTTTCTCAAATGCATTGTTTGTGGTTGAACGTTAAAAACAAATATCCAGATGTTCAGCTGTGGAAAGTGGTTGTGGATGTCAGTTTGTCTTTGTTGGATTTAGTCAGACTTTGGATGGAAGGAAGAACCTTGTGCTGCGTTATGATCTCTCCCTTCATGAAGTCTCTCTGCTGCTACTTTCCCCATCTGAAGTCTTTGTTCCGCACATGTGTCCATGTAAAAAAGCCACTTAAAACCCTGTCACCTGCACACATGGCAGAGAAATCATTGTTCTCCAGGTGTAGTGTAACTGGGGAAACCAGGTCTCTCTAATCCCCTACCCCCATTATGTTTGTACGAAGTTTAAGAAATCAGCTTATTATAGGAAGCCAACTGTAACCTGTTTGATTTCATGTAAACACACCAAATGATTTGTGTTTTTCCAGGCCTGCCGCTTCGCAGCCATACAACCAGGGAGCTATGAACCTGTCAGGGCCGCACCCCAGCTATCCCCAACACTACGGGCCCCAACCCACAGTACAGCAGGTGACCAACCAGATGACTGGGATGCAGATCACCTCCGGACCACCAACCCCAGCAGGGCCAGGATATGGTAAATATGGATGGAGTTATACTTGAGTGCAATGTAATTTCCTGGAACAATGAGGGAAATGTGGACAGGTGTGTGTTGTAAATACACGTAGTCACAGTCACAGACTCTGACACCAGGAGACGTTCACACTGTCTGTCGCTCTCTCTCCTCAGTTCCACCTCACAGCTCCCAGCCTCCTGTCAGTACCGCCTACTCAGCCGCACCTCAGCCCTCCTACACCCAAGCTCCTCCCCCCACGTCCTCCGCTCCCACCCAGCCACCACCTCCAAGCGGCCCTGCAACTTCTCAGCAATACTACGGAGGCCCACTGCCTCCTTCGCAACAGCCATTCAACTCTTCTCTTCCCCCTACCTCTCAACAGCAGTTCACCTCCTCTGCGCCGCCGCCTCCTTCCTCTCAGCAAACCTTTCCTCCCTCCTCCTACTCGGGTCCCATGCCTCCACCCAGCCAAGCTCCTGCTCCCCCAGCGTCCCAGCCACAGCAGTCCTTCCCCCCATCCCAGCCCCCCTTCTCCTCAGCACCTCCACCTGTCAGCCAGCCTGCCTTCATCTCCGGTCCGCCTCCCCCAGCCCAGGGCTCCTTCCAACCTCGAGCACCCCCTCCTTCCTCTCAGCCTGGATCTTTCCCTCCTCCTGGTCCTCTTCCAACCTCAACTCCCTCCGGCCAATACCCAGGCCCAATGCCACCCCAGCAGCAGCCCCCTCCATCCCAACCACCCCCGTATCACTCAGGTCCACCTCCTCCCAGAGCTCAGATGCCTCCCACTTCTATGGCTCAGAGCAACCACCTGCCTCCAGGACCGCAAGGCCCACCGGGCCCCCCTGGGCCCCTGCAGCAGCCTCCATCTCAGCCTGGCATGCAGGGAGGATACCCTCCTCAGCAGAATGGTGAGGAGACTGCAGCTAAGTGGAAGCTAACTGGATTACTGTCAGCTGTTTTCTCTCTCCATTGCTCAGCTGTTTTCTTTCTCCCTTCAGGTGCGTTTGGGCAGGTGAGAGGCCCTCAGCCTGGCTATGCAGGCCCTTATCCCGGGCAACCAAACTACGGAGCCCCTGCACCAGCACCGGCTCCTGCTCCACCTGCACAGAAAAGACTTGACCCAGATGCCATTCCCAGCCCGGTGAGCAGACACCACAACACAACACAACACCCTGTTGATCTCCGGTCGTTTCTGTTCCTCACATCGTTTTTAGAGACAGGGTCGTTGTGAGGGAAGATGACTTTGAAGCATGACATGTATACTCAGTGACCACTTTATTAGGTACACCTGTACAGTCTATGATGACAGTTTTTTGGCACTGTCAAAGCGGTGTTTGTTCAAATTACCACTGAGGTGACAGTGATGGTGTGTTGTTGTAGTGTATTATATTGAAGGGTGTTTCTAATATTTTTCTCCCTTAATTTATCTAAATAGAGAAAAAAAAATAGAAACACCTCTCAGTACAACGTAATGCAGTCCAACACCACCTAACTATGATCTCCGAGATAAACATATCATTCAATTTACACATTTCCGTCGATGTCAACAAAAACCGAACTCTATAAATTTCACGAAGAGACACGGAAACGGTGGCCAAAAAACAGCTGGTCGCCTCAGGCAGCCAAAATGGAGCCCGAACACAGCACAGGCGCTGGCTGTGGTCATTTCAGGTTGGATTGTACAGGTGCACTTAATAATATGAGCAATGAGGGTATATGATTTTGCGTGCACCACTTAGGGCTGGGCAGTAATTTCCTATTCTTCTTATTGAACTGGATTTCTAATGACTATTGTATATAATTCAATGTAATATTTAATGAATGTCATTATCATACAGCTGTCATGGTTCATTATAATTGACTTTGACATGGAGTTATTCATTCATTTTGTTTACTGTATTTATTGTCATAATGCTGTTTTTTATGGCGCCTTTATGAAAAAGAGAGAATTTTATGTCATTTATGGAATAAGAAAAGTTTTTTTTTTTAAATGAATCCATATAAATGAGTTTACTCAACCTGGGGCATCACATTCTCCACTGGCCTTCACAGCATGTATTGATTTTGACCCTTGGACTATCTTGATACTGCCCAGCTGTAGCAGCACAGAAATCTAACAGTTATATTTTCACTTTGTTTGTGTCCTTAAAGCTGCTTAGCATGTGTGTCAAACAGGCTACTGGTGTATTAGTTTATATCTCCTTGCACCTGACTGTCTACAATACCACTAATCTATAATCAATACTACTGACCAGTTTCTGTCTGAATAACAACAATGCTGCTTGCTGCTCAGCAGAGTATTTGCTGAGTTCTCTCTTCTCACCCTCCCTTTTTTTTATCTTTTCACTCTTTGTATTCATTTATTTTGTGCCGTTTCGCACAATTTGCTGGACAAACTTTTGAATGTAAAGCAAGCGTCTGACATGCCGGCTGTGCAGAAATCAAGACATAGAATAGATCCAGACGCTATCCCCAGCCCAGTAAGTTTCCTGTGTGCCTGCTTCTTCCTCTGCTTCATCCTGTCGTCTCTGCTCGCTTTGCGATAACCCACGGCTTTCACCTCCTGTTCCCTCCTTCTAACCCCTCGGAGTCAGTGACATTCACAACGTGAGGGACGGGCTCCTGGTGGAAATAAGAACAATGTAGACTTTGCTGTATTAATGTTTCTGTGTCCAGTAGGAAATGTAAATATAGACTGATGCTGCATTGGCATTTTAGTATCTGTTCATTCCAGCTGTAATGCCCACATAAAAACACCACAGTAAATTACAGTTTAAAGGAAAGTTCATCATTTTTGGAACTACGTTTACTTCCTGAATTTTGCGTAGAGTTAGATGAGAAGAATGACACCACTCTCATTTCATCATAGTCTCATAGTCTGGACAAACTGAGACTACTGTAGTTTTTTTTGTCTTGAGTTTGTCATTCATCATAAACCTCAGACAGTCACTCCCCCTCTTAATCCTTTTCCATGCTGTGCATGCTAGCCTGCAACATTTTTGACTTACCCACAATTCCTTGCATTGATGGCATGCCTTGATAAATCCTGACATTTTTCCAAGGGGATGTCATTGAGTTTTTGTTTTTATCATATTTGTGAATCTACACAAACGGCTTCAGCATGAACCTCCTCCATCTGTCACCTGACTCCTGGCTTGAAAATGAAGTTTGTGTCCACGAATGTTGACAGATTGTGTGTTTAGTAGCTGTGTGTGTGCGTGTGTGTGTGTGCATGCCTGTGCGTGTGTGTGTGTCTGTAGGGGTTGTGTGTGCGTGCGTGTGTGTGTGTCTGCAGGGTTTGTGTGAAAGTCCTCTCCTGCATGGGTGTTCCTCTTTTAGACTTAGTGAGACCTGGGACAGTGTCATGTGCACTCAAACGTGTGTATGTGTGTGTATTTATAGTGTGAACATTTCTGGATTAAGAATATTTGTGTACCCTCTCCTTTTCAGATCCAGGTAATAGAGGATGACAAGGCTAAGAGCACCGAGCCATTCACCACAGGGGTCAGAGGTCAGGCCCCACCGCTGGTCACCACCAACTTTCAGGTCAAAGACCAAGGTCGGTTAAACTTTCGTTAGAAACATAAAATCTGGCGGCGTCTCAGTTATTGAGGAAATGTTGCTCATTCACGTTCCCCTTCCTTCTTCTTCCAAAGAGTTGCAGAGAATTAAACTTGTGCGATTTTGATTACAAAATCATCCTCAAGATCTCTTCTATTCCCCAACTTGTTACTGCGGGAGAAGTGAGGATGTTGCTGTGTAGTGATCGTGATATTAATGGAAGGTTTGCGTCTGTGTTTAGGGAACGCCAGTCCCAGGTTTGTCCGCTGTACGGCGTACAATATGCCTTGCACAGCCGATATGGCCAAGCAGTCTCAAGTGCCACTGGCCGCCGTCATCAAGCCCCTCGCCACGCTGCCGCCAGATGAGGTGAGCCCCCCCCTCCCCCGTCTTTCCAGTGTTGTAAATGTTATATTTAATTTAATTATTGAAATGCAGCTTTTATTGCACGATGAGAGAGGAAATGTGTTCATTGTAAAGCTCTTTGAAAGCAAAAGCAGGAAGATGCATAATACACAGCACTTATGGCAAGGCTGCCCAAAACACAAGTGTTAACCTTAGCCATCAGCAAGCTTCCTCTGCAGTTCACCCTCTTCATCTGTACGTACCACAGTGCAGCTCTATCCTCCGCTGAGATTTTCATAACAGGTGGGACTTTTTTTCTTTTCTTTTTTTTTTCCCCTGAGCTTGATTTGAAAAAAGATTAGTTTTCAGGGCAATGCCTGATGTGTAGTTGTTGTCACGGGATGCCTGTAACATCAGCGGGATAATCTTTTCTGAAAACCATAGAGATGGGAGCGGCTGCGTGACCTGGTTTCCGGCATTCGCCACATGTGTAACCAATATTCATTCGGACTGGATTAGTTCTACGTTGCATCCTTTTTGGCAGGAAAAAAAACAAAAAACAAAAGAGGGTGTAAATATGAACTACTAAGAGTGTGGCACACATCACCGCCTGAATTGTGATTCTCTTATTCCTTTCATTGAACCTGTTCGGCAGACCCCTCCGTACCTGGTGGACCATGGCGAGGGCGGTCCAATCCGGTGCAACCGCTGCAAGGCCTACATGTGTCCCTACATGCAGTTCATAGAGGGAGGTCGCCGCTTCCAGTGTGGGTTTTGCAGCTGCGTCACAGAGGGTGAGTTTGTGTCTGTGTTCATGTCAACCGTGCGCAAGCTACATGTTTTTCTAAATTGAACTGTATTTATGTTTATCGCTCCTCTCTTTTTTTCCCCCCACAGTGCCTCCACATTACTTCCAGCATCTGGACCACACTGGGAAGAGGGTGGACTGTTACGACAGGCCGGAGCTCTCGCTGGGCAGCTACGAGTTCCTGGCCACTGTCGACTACTGTAAGGTAGGACCTGCTACCTAATTATTATGTGTCCGCAACGGATCGTTTACCCTTCAATTCCCTCGGGGATCTGCAAAATGAATTCTCTGGAGTTAGGAGTTTGTTTTATGAGTTTTTCTGAGGGAGTCAGAATGATAGAATAATAATTAAAAAGCCATCAACAGTACTGTCCAAGAACGACGCGGGAAATATTAGTTGTTATCCAATGAGCAAATAAAAGCAAAGCCTGTAAGCTACTGCTGCAAATCAGTCTCAGGAAAATTGGCTCGGTACATTTTATTTAATGGGCATCAGATTGGAAATGAGGCTGTGCAGGGCAGATAACAAAACAGTTTGTTACTCTGATACTGGTTCTGGATCGATTCTGGTATTGATGGGACAGGAAACTGAAACAAGAACAAGTCCAACCAATATTGAAGTTTCTGTCAAATTATCTGATAGAGTAGATAAATTTATATATATATATATATTTCTTTTTTATCTCTTCATCTTTGCATTACTAAATCTCTCTTGATCCTGACTCTCCCAGCTATGGTGGAGCGGTCATTTATATTGTTGAGCCTTGTTCTCTGTGGTTCTGACTTTGGATTCAGGTTTTTCCTTTGACTAATAAGAAAGTGCAGGTGTGACACCAACACAGTGACTGGTTTTATGCTTGGATTTAATCAGTGATTACAATATATTCATTAGAAAACAAAGTACAGTAAATTTAATTGGGATGCCTTCAAGGAGAAAGATCCGTATGTAGCGTCTCTGTTTGTTACTGCTCCACCACATGTTGAACTGAACAAACAGTGATGTTCCAGAGTCTGCCTGTGGTTAATGTGTTAGTGTTATTTACACGTCTTCATACGGAGAATTTTTTCCTTCTGTCTTCAACAGAACAACAAGCTTCCTCAGCCTCCAGCCTTCATCTTCCTCATCGACGTGTCCTACAACGCTGTGAAGAGCGGCATGGTCAGCATCGTCTGCCAGGAACTCAAGACCCTTCTAGACTACCTGCCCAGGTGCTCAAACACACACACACAAACACACACGCTGGAGGAAGCGTTGGTAAGAAGCAGGGAAAGGGTGAAGGAGGAAGAGAGGAAGCAATAAATGGGAGCAGTAAAGAAAAGGCAGATGAAGGGAAAGATTGAATAGAAGAGGTAGAAAGGAAGGACAGGAGAGGAGAGGAAGAAATCAAGCTTGCAGCAAAGAGGAAGTAAAGAAGCAGAGAGAGTCAGAAATGGAAAAGAAAGAAGGGGATGTGATGAAGGAGAAACATTTCCTCTTAATCATGAGGACTTACTAAACAAACTGCACTCTGTTAGTTTAGACGCTCCCTTCTAGTTCGTGTAAAGAAATGTGATCTTGACCTTTTCCCCCCGTTTCCTCCTCCGCCTCTGCGTCCAGGGAGAACCCAGAGATGGACTCCGTGGTGCGGGTGGGTTTCGTCACCTACAACAAGGTTTTGCACTTCTACAACGTCAAGGGGAGCCTGGCGCAGCCCCAGATGCTGGTGGTGTCGGACGTATCGGACATGTTCGTGCCCCTGCTCGACGGCTTCCTGGTCAACGTCAACGAGAGCCGGCTAGTTATCGAGAGGTGGGGGCAGACGGGAAGCAGACGCTCGCACATTAGCAGATACATGAGGTGTCTATGGAGAGACAAAAATCGATCCCATTTAATGACACAATGTTTGTGCTCGCCAGTTTACTGGACCAGATCCCAGAGATGTTTGCAGACACCAGGGAGACGGAGACGGTCTTTGGACCCGTGATCCAGGCAGGACTGGAGGCACTGAAGGTAACTACTCTGCAAAGTCTGGGAAGTCTTCCAAAGGCTTGATGTATTTATTCAGAGTTTGACAATGAAAAACAAAAGTGTAGAAACACAAGAGAACAAAACTATATTGTTCAGTTTAAACTTTCTACGTCGACCGTTTTCCTGACAAGTTACAGAAATGACACCTTTTTCCAGAATTTTAGTTTTGTCACTTAAAGTTCCTGGAGCTTTTTGGAATAATATTGTGTGACGTCGCTCTTTGTAAACACTTCCTTCAGGTCGAAAAGGTTTGGATTTCTCAAACTAAATATGCAGGAATGACTCGGATGGATCTTAATCCACCCCTGGATACACGAGACTAGACCTGTACAGAGCTGCCGACACGGCTGATGATGATTTATATGCTGCCGTGTGTCGTTTTCTCAGGCTGCGGACTGTGCAGGGAAGCTGTTTGTGTTTCACACCTCTCTGCCCATCGCCGAGGCTCCTGGGAAATTAAAGAACAGAGAAGACAAGAAGCTGATCGGGACGGATAAGGAGAAGGTGAACGCGTAGTGTAGCAGAGTTGTGCTTTGTTGTGTACTCGGCTGTATGTGTTGCGTATGTAGCTCCTTGATACGTATCTTATCATTTACTCCACACTGACTCTCCTCCCTCTCCTGTCGTTCCTCAGTCTCTGTTTCAGCCTCAGGTGGGTTTCTACAGCACCCTCGCTAAGGAGTGTGTAGCCCAGGGCTGCTGCGTAGATCTCTTCCTCTTCCCCAACCAGTACGTGGATGTTGCCACGTTAGGGGTGGTTCCCGTCTCCACCGGAGGTTCAGTCTACAAATACACCTACTTCCAGGTGAGGGGAAGTCGCTCTCCTCCTCCTCCTCCAGCCTCGCTCTGGACCTGCTCCAGGTTTTCTCGTTTTGTTTCGTACTGCCGCTGAAACGATGACGTGTCTCATCAGTGTGTTTTTGTTTTCTTCATCACCAGGCTCAGTCAGATCAGGAGCGGTTCCTGAACGACCTCAGACGAGACGTCCAGAAACTAGTCGGGTTCGATGCCGTCATGAGGGTGCGAACCAGCACAGGTGAGACTCCCCCCTCCCCTCACTTGAAAACAACAACAACAACAAAAAAAAAAAAAATTAGTCAAGATTGAGAGAAATGTGACGGTGTCCTCTCCTGGCTCCGTCCTCACCCTCTCCCTCCCCTCCCCTCCCCTCCCCTCCCCTCAGGTATCCGGGCGACTGACTTCTTCGGCTCCTTCTTCATGAGCAACACCACAGATGTGGAGCTGGCAGGCCTGGACTGTGACAAGGCCATCACCGTCGAGTTCAAGCACGACGACAAGCTCAGCGAGGAGACAGGGGCGCTCATGCAGGTGTGCACATCTGTCTTTGGAACAAAATCTTTTTTCTTGGAGGGAACACACTTTATTTAGGGTTTTTAAATCAGATATTGTGGGATAGTCTTACAACTTGCAGGATGTGGAGGACTGATTTAGCGGTGTTTTAAAGCAGAAACACAACAGGAAAAGTGGCTTTACCGAATTACTTAAATACCCTCACCCTTTTACATTTTGTAAAAAGATAACGTGACGTATCCGTCTCATTTGTTTCCCCGCAGTGCGCCGTGCTGTACACCAGCTGCAGCGGACAGAGGCGTCTCCGCATCCACAACATGGCCGTCAACTGTTGCTCTCAGCTGGCTGACCTCTACCGCAACTGTGAGACCGACACAATCATCAACTTCTTCTCCAAATACGGTGAGAACAATTCTCGGCTCGCAGACTCGGACACATTCACAATAACAAGCAAACAGGTGATAGACTCAGGACAGGTGTCGCTTCGGTCCAATCAAACCCTCTTGTGAACATAGCAGAGATATCTAGACCAATATATAACACAAAAGGCTCCCATATTCTGCGAAATACAGTGTCTTTGCAATGTAACGTGCATGTCAAATAATCCAAAGATACATATTCAAGTATAATTTTATGCCAATATGTTTTGGATGGAACTGTACAGAAACATTTTCGAAAATTTCTATCTGTGTGTGTGTGTGTGTGTGTGTGTGTGTGTGTGTGTGTGTGTGTGTGTGTGTGTTGTGTGTGTGTGTGTGTGTGTGTGTGTGTGTGTGTGTGTGTGTGTGTGTGTGTGTGTGTGTGTGTGGGGCAGCTTTCCGTGGCATCCTGAACAACCCCACTAAGGCGGTGAGAGACACTCTGGTCAACCAGTGCGCTCAGATTCTGGCCTGCTACCGGAAGAACTGCGCGAGCCCCTCATCAGCTGGTCAGGTACTGAGAAAACCTCCATTGTTGTTTCCTGCTTTTTAGATTTGTGCTTCTTTCATCCACATTTTCACAACTTTTGGTTCAGGACTCAAAAGACTTCAGTTTAGTTTTTATTAGAAAATAGAATAAGATCCACTTACTGGCTTTTTCAAAACTCACTGTCATTTGAAAGGTAAAACAATTCATTGATTAATTGAAAAAATGATCAATAAAGAGAACAGTCATTAGTTGCAGCCCTATATCATATATTTGGATCTCCCTCTGTGTATGACCAACGAATGGACAAAAGACTGTGAAATGCATTTGAAAGATCTGAAAAGTTTTTTTTTTTTTTTTTTTTACTATTCCCAACGTCCGGAATGAACTTGACGCTCGTTTGTCACATGTCAGTCAAGAAAACTCAAATTTACACATTATCATGAAGTATTTAGCTATTTGAAGATGTTACCTTGGTCTGTGACATGTGTTTGTGTGTGTGTGTGTGTGTGTGTGTTTTCCAGCTCATCCTCCCAGAGTGCATGAAGCTGTTACCGGTCTATCTGAACTGCGTGCTGAAGAGCGACGTGCTGCTGCCGGGAGCCGACGTCTCGTTGGACGACCGGGCTTACCTGAGGCAGCTGATCAGCTGCATGGACGTCGCAGAGACACACGTCTTCTTCTACCCCCGCCTGCTGCCACTGGTGAGATCACACACACACACACACACACACTAAAGAAAGGTTTAAAATGGCTTAGAAAAAGGCTCAGTTCATCTGTGCCATTAGAGTAATATTCATGTTTACAGGGGATGAAAATGTAAGACTCTCGACTACATGTAATGTTTGATCAGTAGATGGTGAGGCTAACATATTCATCTCATGTTGTCACTCCCCTTTAACTTTCCAGATGAAGTTGGAGGGCGGGTCGTTGCCGGTGGCGGTGAGGGACTCGGAGGAGAGGCTGTCGAAAGGTGGCGTTTACCTCCTGGAGACGGGGCTCCACCTCTTCCTGTGGGTGGGAGCCAGCGCTCAGCAGGAGCTGCTGCTCAACATCTTTGGCACGCCGAGCTTCAGCCAGATCGACCCGAGCATGGTGAGAGGAAATGGATTTACCGCCATGTTGTTTGTTGACCCCCGCCGACCGACCCACAGCTGATGGTTTAATCCTAGTTTGTGTTTGTGAGGCCGAACTCATCTCTAATACACACCGCGCTGCAGTCCATCAGTTAGTCATGTGAGAAATTACAGTTACAGTTAATACGACACCTAGAAGTCAACATTACAAGCTGTTTATTTTTAATTTTTTTTAACAACATATATTGTTTCATCTTAACCTGTCTGACAGTAAAAGTTGAATTTCATTTTCTCCAGTAGAAAACAGTCAATTCTTTCCGCTCATATTTTACACTCTACAGTAAAACGAGTTGTCAGGGTCACAGACAAATTAAATTAAATTTTTTGTGATGTAAATTCGAACATTGTGACACATTTTTTTATCAGGGTGTGTTTTACATGCATAATGTGATTTATCGATATTGGAAGAATATTGTGTTACTGTGATATTGATTCATTCTAAACACCCAGCCTTGTGTTAGTCTGTCACTTCTGAATGTCTGTGCTCTGTCTTGCAGACAAGTCTGCCAGTGCTGGATAATCCCTTCTCTCAGAGACTCCGAGAGATCGTCGACTCCTTCAGAGCGCAGCGATCACGATACATGAAGGCAAGCGCTCTCTCTTCCATATTCCCCCTCTGATATCTTTAAGTCCAAACACTTTGTCTCCCTCTTTTGTTCTTTCTCTGTCCCTTCTTGGGCTGGGTACCAGTTAAAACACTTTTTGATACCAGTGCCAGTAACTGGTAACTAAGTGTCTGTATCCATATCTAAACAATATTTTTTTTTTGTTTGATTTTATTTTATTTTTATTTTTTTTTGATGCCTTACTGTAAAAAAAAGTCTACATGTTTTTCCTCACATCCCCTTTTTTTTACATTTAAAGTATCAATATCAAGACAAAGAAGATGAACAGGACATTTATTTAAACTTGGTTAATAAATATAAATTTTGAAATAACATCTAAAAATAATAAAGAAATTTAACAAAACATTTGTCAGCAACTATTTCGATAGATTTGAATCATCAGTTGTCGAGCAAATTGTCGATCATCAAGCAAAAATATCAAACTGTCTTTGATTTCCAGTTTCCCAAATGTGAGGATTTAATACTTTTCTCTTTGTTATATAATTGCAAATTGATTATTTAAAATAAGGGATTTTGTTTAAGAGCCCTTGGGCCCCGTTAAAATATTCAGATGTTTCAAAGACACAAGTTTTAGTCAATTTATTAAGAAAATAATCAATAGAAGATGAATCAGCCCTACTTGGATATAATAAAGAAAATAAAGAAGTCCACAGGTTTGAAACCGGGTCCCGCTCGTTGTGTCTCACACTCCTCTCTCCTCTCTCCTGCAGCTGATGGTGGTGAAACAGGAAGACAGAGCTGAGCTGATATTCAGGCACTTCCTGGTCGAGGACAAGTGCGCCAGCGGGGGAGCGTCATACGTGGACTTCTTGTGTCACATGCACAAGGAGATCCGCCAGCTTCTCAGCTAGGCCACCCCCCCACCCCCCACCCCCCTATCTGAAATTCCCATGTTCACCTGTATGACTCCCCACCACTGACCCCTGCCTGGTTCACCCCTCCTTGTGAAAGAAAGAAAGAAAGCGCTTTATCTTTTTTTTTTCTTTTTTTTTTCTTTTTTTTTAAAAACCTAATAAACTAAAGCTCTCCTTACTGTCTGCCACAGACCAGCTGGCAGATCTACTGTCGTGTGAGTGGTAATGTGTGTGCATGTGTGTGTGAGAGTGTGTGTGAGCGAGCGAGCGAGAGAGAGAGAGAGAGAGAGAGAGAGAGAGGATCCGATGTTAATAGAGCTTTACTCTGCCTCAAATCTCCTGCTCCAACACAGCAGGAGCAGAATAACTGACGAGGGAGGGTAATGTGTATATACACACGTGAACAATTATGTATGCAACAGACTGATCGAGTGACGGGGGGGGGCGACTGATGTTGACTGTAGTCGGTGTACTGTCTGTATTACTAGCACTGAAAGGCTGTTTTGGGTGCAGAAATGACCCTCAGATAGCAAAACACTTTTTATATGATTGAATCCCAATAGAGTGAAGGACATCTACATACCAAGACATAATGGAATTAAATAAATGCTGTTCTTTCTGTATCTTCTCCCCTTTAATCATGGCCTTAGTATCCCCTCCCCATGCTGCTCCAATCATCCATAATGTGTGCGTGCGTGTGTGTGTTTGTTTCCAGATGTGAGGGGATTCGTTGCCCACTGCCCAACTCTTGTTTTCCAGGTGTGAGCATCTGAATTTAAGCCCTAGATTAAAAGCTCGAGCTGGAGTCTGGTGAGTTCTCACCTGCGGAAATGATTTAAAATCTAAACTCTGGTTTCAGCGTCCACAGATAAACTGAAAATAAAGGTGCACTGACAACCAGTCATTACAGTAATTGGTATAATCCAGATTTGTTCCAATCAGCTTCAGTTGAGTTTTCTTTGTTGATGCGAACATCTGGCTCCAATGTTTGGCCTCGGATGAACCAGATGTGCATTTGAAATTGCTGTCATGATTCTGTTTATGAGAGTTTAAAGTCTATGCAGCACTGTGCGAGGCCAGAGATGAAATAATAAAAAAATAAAATAAAATAAAAAAAATCAAGGAAGGGTGTGAACTTTTGATGTCAGCTTCACAGTGATGGGAAATTGATCAGTTTCTGTGGATCATTCTGTCTGTTGACGGCGTGTATGTGCTGCAGACTTTAAAATAATCAGAAGTTTTGATTTCCAAAAATGTATTAAAAACAAAATGTGAGTTCCAGCAGACAGAAGTGAGCACAGAAGGACAGCGGAAAACTGGACATCAGTTAATGTTTGCAAACTTTTGAGTTGTATCCACACTGACGATGTTCGGTGTGTAAATAAAATATATAATCTGTACAGAATTAATAGAAAATTACAATTTTAAAGACCTGCCTGAGCAGCTGTGGTTTGTTGGTGGTTGGTTTCTCTATCACAGAAGCCGCAATATGAAGTTACGGCTTTTACTGAAGGAGGAAGACGCAGAGGCTTGCTTTGTGGTATGCTTGTGTGTGTGTGTGTGTGTGTGTGTGTGTGCGTGCGTGCGTGCGTGCGTGTGTGCGTGCGCGAGTGTGTGTGCGCGTGTGTGTGTGTGTGAGAATGTGGGGTCGGTCCTGGTGAATTTCTCCTGAGGAACAGAGGGATCAGCCAACACACACACACACACACACACACACCTACCCATTCAATTAATTTCAGTCTTCTTCATTTATCACTTTCTGTTCCTTTTTTATTTTAACTATGTGTCGTTTGTGTTTTTGGTGTGTGTGTAGCCCTCTGTTCCGTCTCTATGTTCACTGAGTTTGATAGACCCATCGTCTTGATTGTAATCTTAATTTCTGTTTTTCCTTTTCTCTTTGATTTGTTTTTTTTTTTTTCATTGCCTCTTGGGACTGCTAATAAAATGAGGTTAAAAGTGAAACTCCACACTGTGCTTCTCCTTCACTGAAGAAAGGCTTTTTTACAAATTATAAATGTACATACTTTATATTTCATACAAATACACTCTTCACATTGCTGTACAAGTGACATCTAGATTATTGTGCAGTACAGATTTCCCCCCAGTTTTTCCAAGTTACAAAACATTTTCACTTCCTCTTATCAGTATCCGCATTAAAACACAACAATTACAAGGAAAAGAATTTTGTCTGTGCTCCTCACAACATTGAGAAATTTACAAAATTACTTTCTACTGAAGAGAGACGTTGATCAAAAACCACCACCAAATAATGGACAAATTAAGACACGATGAAGACACAAGATGGAAAATCCAGGAATCAACAGCAGCCATTACAATACATCACGAGTAGAGACAAGTCTCCCGGTAATCCATCCTAGTCGTAGACACAGTTCACTCAAAACTACAAATGTCAACCTCAGTGGTGCTAGAGGAAAGTGCAGGGGATCAGCCGAGTATGTAGGATTCATCCTCTGGGAAACATGAATGTCTGCATGAAATTTCATGGCAGTATATCAAATACTTGCTGAGATATTTCAGTCTGGACCCAAGTGGTGGACATTGGCTTCCCTGGAACCACGCCGCTGGTATGGCTTGAAACAAATCCTCATCAAAGACCCATCATATCCCAAAAGCTGAGCAAGTAAACCCAAAATTGAAGAGCAGCATAAAAGCAAATAGTACATCATGTTACATAATTATTTAGCGCAGGTAGATTGTGGAGTCCACCCAGGCCAGCTGAAACCCTGGGTGGACAGGTTCTGTGAAGGTGGTGTGGAAGGTGTGGAGGAGGGTGAGTGTGGCACAGGAAACCTGGTAGAAGGAGAGCGTCCCCGCTGACCAGTCCAGAAAGACTCCTACTTTATTGGATCTGGGTGGGGTGGTGACAACATTGTTCATGCCATTGTGCAAGATCCTGTAGGCATCTTTGGAGCAGCTCAGGCCCCAGGAAGAGTCATTTCGGCCTAGCCAGCTGTCGTCTCCCTCTCCCTTCCTGCACATCCGTCTGTAGGCTACTCCTATGAAAGCTCTCCCGCACCATTCTGTCTCCCAGTAGCAGCGCCCGCTCAGTCCCTCCTTACACAACACCTGGCGCGAAAAATCGAACCTCTCTGGGTGATCGGGACGCGGCTGCTCGGTCCAACGCGTTGCTTTCGTGTTTCCCTCGGACAGAGACAGGTCCTTGTGTGCTGTGTTTGGGTCCAGTGTGAGTTTGCGGGTGTCTGGTGTAACAGATTAAAAATGTTAGTCTATTCTATATTACTCCTTGCTGTTTTATGAGTTTAGAAGGAAGCAGAGACGTCCTAAGTGCTGGTTACTCACATTTCTTTGGACCTGGCTGAATCCTGGATTCATCACACTGTTCCACACTGAAACATAACAGTAGACCACAGTTTTGTTTGTGTTTATATCATTAATGTAGTTCAAAGTGAGTGGAAACGTTATCATTCAGGCTCTAGACGACACCATCACTACCTGAGTTTCTGCAGGCTGCATTGTGGGTCGTCTAGCAGAGTAGACAGCAGCTGCAGACCTGAGTTTCCTGGGTGGTTGTAGCTCAGGTCGAGCTCTCTCAGGCACGATGAGTTCAAAGCGGATGCCAGGAAAGTGCAGCCTTCCTCTGTCACTCTGCACAGGGGCAAACTTCAAGAAAACACACCAAGACATTTCATCTAACTGATCTCCACCAACGATAACAGCAAGAAGTGAGAGTGTGTGTGTGTGTTTGTGTGCGTGTGTGTGTGTGTGTTCGGCCCTGTACCGTATATCACTTTTAAATAATTCATCTGGCATGGAATTACACTCGGGGCACTCACATGAGTATTTCCAGTTTACAGTGAGGACTGCCCAGTCCAGCAGAGAGCCTTGTGACTCCCACGTCCTGAAAGTCATTGTCAGTGAGGTCCAGCTCTTTCAGCTGGCAGGATGCTGAGCTGATAAATGAGGCCAGGGCTTCAGAGCTCTTCTCTGTAAGGTTGCAGCTCCTGAGTCTAAACCAACAGAAAATACAGCTAGAAACAAAAAAAATCTGTATTTGACTTGGGGGGGTGGGGGAGAAAGAAATGTGTTGGATTTTTTACCTCAATTTGTCCAGTTTGCTGTTCTTCAGTCCACCAGAGAGCAGATTTATGCCTGAGTCTGTCAGGTTGTTGTTACTCAAGTCCAACTCTCTTATTTGGGATGAGCTGACGCCATTTGCCAGGCTTTCACAGCAGGTCACAGTGAGATTGCATGCATTTAGACTGCAGTAGGAAAGACAGTATGAGAGAGGTAAATGATGAAAAGACTGATTATAGCCTCTCTAAGTTGTATGCTAATATCTTTTTACACTGTGAAATAGAATTATTTTGTTACTTGTTACCTACTTAACCTTTTCGTTACCTACTAACATATTCATTGCACTCAGGCAAATGATCTTGCATGCACTGCTAACTAATGACTCCATGCTCTCAAACAACAGATCACACCTGTACACCGTCAGAGGTTCCACGGACACTAATGTGCAGTTAATTCTTTCTTTTAATTCATGCCAAAAAGAACATTTGACCTGAAGTCTACTATTTTTAATATAAGGAGCATATCTGCTTTTCTAAAAAAAAATCACTTACTTCGCCACTTGAGCCGTTTTCACAACAGGCAGCAGCATCCGAAGTCCCTCCTCGGACCTGGCATAGTTGCTCAGCTCAAACACGCTCAGTTCTTCTTCTGAGGTCAATAATACAAAGACCAGAGTGGCCCACTGTGCCGGTGAAAGCTTGGCTTTGTCGAGACTGCCAGAACTGAGGTAGCTCTGAATCTCCTCCACAAGGGAGTGGTCATTCAGCTCATTCAGGCAGTGAAAGAGATTGAGACATCTGTCTGGGGATGGACTTGACCTGATCCTCTCCTTGATGTGTTTGATGATCTCTGTTCTTGTCCTTTGGTTTGATCTGTTGCTGGTCATTAGCTGTTTCAACAGTGTCTGATTGGATTCCAGAGACAGGCCCAGGAGGAAGCGCAGGAAGATGTCAAAACGTCCATTTGGACACTGCAAAGCCTTTTCTACTGCTTGTTTGTAGAGGATGACCTCTGAAGAGTCTCTGAACAGGAAACGTCTCGAAGCGGACGACTTCTTTACCAAGACATTGATGTTGTCGTTGTGGAAAGTGAGGAAGACGTACAATGCGGCAAAGAATTCCTGAACGCTCAGATGCACAAAGCAGAACATCTTCCCCTCGCACATTGTCAGCTCCTCGTTGAAGATCTGTGTGTAGACTCCTGAGAACATGGATGCCTGCGTGACATCTATACCATTTAGTTTGAGGTCGTTCTCGTAGAAGATCAAGTGGCCCTTCTCAAGCTCTTTGAAGGCCAGTTTACCCAGTGAGATGAGGTTAGCTCTCACGCATTCAGCGTTTGACTCTCTTCTTCCAGGCAACCTCTTCTTCATGGTCTCCACGTACAAAGACAAGAAGTGTATGTACATTTCAGTTAGGGTCTTTGGTGTGTCTTTACTGTCCGTCGTTGTCAACTTCTTCTCAAGAACGCTCGCCGCCATCCAGCAGAAGATGGGTATGTGGCACATGATGTGAAGACTCCTGCAGGATTTCACATGTGCGATTATCCTGTTTGCCAAGCTCTCGTCACCAATTTTCCTTCGGAAGTATTCGTCTTTTTGCAGGTTGTTGAACCCTCGAACCTCGGTCACGAGATCAATGCAGTCCACAGGGATCTGACTGCAAGCTACTGGGCGGGATGTTATCCATACAAGACTCAAAGGAAGCAGTCTTCCTCTGATGAGGTTGGTGAGAAGCACAGCAATTCTGGTTGGCTGTGTCACATCAGACATTATTTCACTGTTGTGGAAGTCCAAAGACAGTCGGCTCTCGTCCAGACCATCCAGGATAAAGAGCATTTTGTGTTCACCATTATTGAAGATTGCTGTGTCTTTTGTCTCAGGGAAGAAGACACTGACAAGCTCCACTAGACTGAAGATTTTCCCTCTCATCAGATTCAGCTCGCGGAAAGAGAGCAGGAATACAAATTCCAGGTTGGTGTTTGCTCTCTCCTCAGCCCAGTCTAGAGTGAACTTGTTGGCAGATACTGTTTTTCCGATGCCAGCGACTCCCCTTGTGATCACAGTCCTTATGTGGCGGTCTCGTCCTGGTAGAGAAACAAAGAGTTGATTGCAGTGGATTGATTGCTCCTGGGCCACATGCATCCTGGACACTGTCTCAATCCGTCTCACTTCATGCTCCCTATTGACGTCAGCAGTTCCTCCCTCAGTGATGTAGAGCTCTGTGTAGATTTTATTGAGAGATATTTTGTTTGACTCTGTTGTCATCCCCTCAAGCAAGTGGCTGAACCTTCTCTTCAGAGTAACTTTCAGTTTCTGTTGACATTCTGCGACTTTATTGACTGAAGGAGAAAATGCACTGGAAGGTTATTTTAGTTCTCGAGAATCAAGCTGTTCTAGCAATATGTCAGATTCTTAAATGTGATAAGGTAATGGGCTGTAAGAAATACTCACTTTGGGACTGCAGAGCCCCACAGCTGTATTCAGTGTCAGGGATCAGTGCATCTTTTAATGTAACGATAGACCCTGCAAAAGAAGAAAAAAGCTCAGCAGAGTCCAAACCACAATTTCAGTTACTCAAGGATGTAATATATCTACCGTGGCCTTGGCCCGTAGAGGTGATACTGATGTTTATGTTGCCAATAGTGGAACCAATAATGGAGGGAGCGACCACATTTCCCCCACTCTGAGCAGTGAAGCTGGGACAGAAATGATCAACCACAGCCTGAAGAGAGGCAACTGACTCTGAGAGAAAACACAAAACTCAACTTCAGCAGTTTGTTACAAAAATGAATTGTAGCGAATGATCACAGCAGCAAATGATCACTAAAGAAAGTTTAGGACATGTTTGCGGCTTTTGAGGTTATCAGTTTTTCAGCAGCACCCTTTTTTCTCACAGGTTCAATTTCTTGCAATATGAACTTTTATTCGTAATTTGACAGCCTTACCTTGAAAGACCTCGTCTGTTTTATTATCGACACTCTTTTCCTCCATTTTGTTTTTTCATATCAGCTCGTTCATCCTTGCATGTTTTCTATCAACTGATGCTTTTCATCGGTGGTCTTCATCTTGGCCTCGGAAATGAGAGGGAGACTGTCCTGTACAGCTGCGGTCAGTTACTTCCAGAGGATCAGATATCTGTTCACACAAACTACATTAAAGAGCAAACAGCATTCCTTCAGATACAGGATGATCATGTTCAGTCAAGGCTATTAAAATGCAATAGATCAAAACACAAAGGAAACTCTTACCTGCATAAAAACAATGATGACTGTTATTGCGATCTGATTCACACACTGAAAGTGGCTGCTCATGAGCAGAGGGGGATTTGCACTTCTATAAGAAACTGCACTTTCTTCCTCCTTCCCTGATGCTCACGAAAAACGGAAGCTGGTGTTTCCTGTCTGCACAGTCTTTACATGCAATCATTGTATGAACCATAGCTCTTAACACAGTTTCATTTACCAAAAAATTAACTTTGGTTTCAGAAATGAGCTTTTTCAACATTTTTTGATTTTCTTTATTGGAAAATTGTAGATTGAATTTGTTAATACAATGATCTGGCAATCAAATAACAGTTTTTCAGTATTTCTGTGGTGTGCTTTTTTTTTTTTTACATAACATTACACTTTTGTCCAAAGCAACTTAAAATCAGGGTATAATAACTAGATATCTTCCAAAAATGGGCATGTATATATTTTAATCAAATGATTTGACATGTTCAGTGCTACAGTACAAGTAATTCAAGATTTTCCACTTTATATGATGGATTTCACATTAGTATATCACAACAAAGACATTGGCTTAAGAATTCCAAATCATGTAACAGTTGCAAATCCAACTGTTTCTGAAAACACAGTAAAACCTGACAGATGGTTTAAGATAAGGTAATATGCGTTCCTAATATGTGGCTGAGTCTGTAGCAGCCATTTCCTAGAACTATGACACTGTGGTCATATTCCTCCTCATCATTGTCAAGGACAAGAGAAGAAAGGATCAAGAGACCAGGTGTGTAAAGCAAAAAAAAACTATTTACAAGTTGTTTCAATTTAACCAAAATTAATTTAAAACTAATGTTATAATTAGTTTTAGGTTAATTTTGGTTAAGGTCAACTAAACATACAGCAAACGGACCTGACCTAACAAATGACACAAGGCGAGATTATATAGATACAGGCTACCCTACACAGTAATAAAGGGGGACAGGAATAAACAATTAACAATATAAAGAAAATTAACCTTAACACTACCAAAGATTCAAATCAAACTATTTACAAACTAACTAACTGCTAAACTAAGAGAAAAAAAACTTAAGCAAGTCCCAAATGATTTAACTGAAATGGACCCTAAAAGGCAGACTCCTCCTGGCCCATCCAGATGGCGTCCCTCTTTTTCAGTACCACTTGTTTAGGCTAAGGCAGGTCTGTCTGGATCTATGCAACAAAAAAGGTAAAAGCAAGTAAAAAAAATGTTACGAACAGAATGTTAAAGTTCCTCTCCAGAACTTTAAACTATTTAAACTATGTAAAAAAAATACTCTGCTTTGATTAATATTCTGTTTAACATAGTTTTCACACATAAAAAGTGAAAAAAAGAAACTGGGGCTGTAAGCACATCCACTCTGACTTCCTCTTACTTACTGACTGTCTGAATCCTTTTTTATGAGACTGTCATTGGGTCACTGCAGTTCCAAGGTGGAAATGCACAGTCATGGTGTTGACTGTTTAATTCACTCATTATATGTCTTGTATTATATAAAAAAAACATCACAGGGACATGTTAACAAGGTTAAAAACTTGATTTTCATCGGAGGGGGTCTTTAACTAAAACACATATACTCAATTTAGACAACAAACTGTCAAACCAGTAAAGTGTGAAGTATGAAAACAAAAGACTGAGTACTGTCATGACTTGAAATGTTTGTATGTTATCTATTTTGAAAAAAGGTCCTCACATTTCGTGTGAAACTGTCATCATTATTAGTAATTGTTGTCACTGTCACTGTCACTGTTACTGTCATTCATCGTCTGTTTCAAGATAGACTGGAAGTGGCGAAGGGACCCTATAAGGCACCCAATCTGTAGAGGTTACAGTCCTCGCTACAGTCGGCCCCGGTTCGAATCCTGCATTGGTCGGCCCTTTACTGCATGTCATTCCCCCTCTCTCTGCCTCCCCATTTCCTGTCTCTCTCTCCTCATCTATCAAAAAAGGCCCTAAATGCCCAAGAGCTATCTTTCGCTTCTCATTCTTCAATATTTTTGGCCTCTTTGACGACTTCCGGTATCCATCTGGTGCAAGATCAAACAAAAGGACAAAACAAAAAGATTTCTTAATTGAGTTTCCTGAGCAGAGGTGAAATATGAATTAATTCAGGGTTTTTGTGCCTGCAAACTTACCGCTTTCTATGTCGCTCCTTATCCTCTTCCAGACTTTCAATTGAAGGTTTTTCACATGTTTGGACACATCTATTTGTACTTGTGGAAGCAGCTGTGGATCTGGCAGTGCAGTCTGAGCTCTGGGGAAAATTCAAGAGATTAAAGTGTAGCTTCACATTTTTTAAAATCTGCCATATGCCATATGTATGCTGAAAGAGTTATCGGTCACTGTAATCATTCCTTGTGTCTATAATCGCCTAGGAGCGATCCCTCCCAGGCACAACTGCACTGTAAAGGTGTACAAAAAGTGAAATTAAATTTTGCCTTGTGTCATTTCCCTGAATTTAACGCAAGGTACTGAATCATTTATCTGTGTTTATTCGACCCAGCACTCAGTGTACCAAATGTGAAGGTAGGAGTTAGGCCCCAGGATTTAGCAGGTACAAAATTAAAACATTTTTAACTTGCCTGCCTCAGTTCTTGCTATTTGTGAAGTGCATCTTTCCACTGACTTTATATGCATCCTGTCTGACCACTCCTGAAGAGATGGATGTGACATCCTCATTCTGTGCAAAATTATATGATAGTTCTAGAAAATGGAGACTGACTATTAATGTTGTAAAAACACAGATAACACATTCTCTAAAGTACACCAGTTCCTATAAATACCTTGGTTTGGTCTTAAATGAACATATGAGTTTTAATGAGGGAATTAAAGTCTTGGCAGATTCAGCTGGAAGAGCATTACGAGTGATGAATAAAATGAAGCTTTTACCAACCTTAGTTTCTCAATTAGTTTCTCAATTTGTTTCTCAAAATTCTGTTTTGTATTCCACTGCCCTCTGTACTCTGATTTAAGGAAATATTTCTTTAACAAGATTCAATCGAAGAACCCTGAACTGTTTTGGTTGTCCGATGCTGTTATGCTGAGTTGTTAATCTTCTTAATGTAGATGCTTTTGTTTTGACAAGATTCATAGGCGAAGCCTGGCTGTTGAGACAGAGGATGCTGTATCCAACATTGATTTGAATCTAATATTAACTTTGGAAGTGTATGTGATGATTTGTTATGTTGCCATCAAGTGTATGGTTGAGTCATTCATTCATTCTCGAAGCTAGCCTGGACATGACTTTGGCTCTCTATATGGGAATCGCTGAAATGAATCTGTGTAACCTACAGAAGGAAAAGGCTCCAAAAAACAGTGAAAAAATGATTAATAATACGTACCTTTCCATTTCAGCCCTAAAGTTCTGTAAATAGAACAAGAAATGCATCAGAAGTCTTCAGATCACATTGAATGAATCAAACCTTTCCTGGGTTTTAATCAGTACCTGTGTGAACGAGTTGTCAGCCTGTAAGTTTTCCACATCCTTCACATTGTCAGAGAGCGAGAGTGTGACTTTGTGCAGCTCTGTGATCTTATGCATCACACCCATCATCTCAGTCTCTTCTTTCCTTAACGCCTCTAATCTGGCTTCTTCTTCTCTATGGAGGCGGAGATGAAGCTCCTCAAAGTTCTTCTTGATCTCATTCTCCGTGTTACGGCTCTGAATCTGTGGGTCATGGTAAGAACAAGAGGTCATCCTCTCTACTTCTTCATGTGTTTAAGACTTGACTGATCAAATTCCAAAGGTCTGTACAGCTGCTGACAAACCTTTATCTGTTCGATTGATGAATCACAGAACTGCTTGACTTTTTCAAAAGCTTCCTGCTTCTCTTTGACGTTCACTGAAGTCTGGAAAATAAATGCCATACTTGAATTTGTTGAAGAAGAAACAGATCCTCATTCAGATAGGATCTGTTAATAACATTACGGTTTACAGGTTCAATCATGGCTTAAAAAATTAATTGTTCTGTTTCATCATCAAAAATCACACTATGACACACACTGACTTAAAGGTTGAACAAACTATACCACAATGTCCCAGTAATAAATACAGAATTACAGTTATTTTAGCCCTGACTAGTACAATTCACCACAACACTACATATAATGTAGTTAAACACATTTGAAGTGACCTCACCTGATATGAGTCATCTCTGTGTCGTCCTGAGGGATTGACCCTACTTCTCTGTGTGTAGCTTTGAATTAAACTCTTCAGGGCAAAATTAATTGGAGGTTTACTGTCATTATTGACCCTCCGACAAGATGGGCATTTCAGAGAGATTACACTCTTCCAGTAGCAGTGAATGCAGGTCCGACAGAAGCTGTGGCCACACTGCAGCACCACAGGCTCAGTGTAAATAGATGAACAAACTGGGCAAGAAATATCCAGAGTGAAAGTTGAATCTAGATCTCTCTGTGTCGTTTTCACAGCAGAGGGTGGTGGCTCAGACACCTGCTGTTCCACAGGTGGGTTTTTGGCTGCAAATCAAATAAACAAATTATTATAAAATATTGCTGCAATAATTCAGTCACAGGTTTCCAAATGGAATTATAATATTTGTTATTCTCTAGTGAAATGTTCATTTTCTTTCTGCCTCCACATAAAGCTCAGAGCATCAGGGTGTGACACTCAATTAGAAACAACTAGTTACAACAACACAATAAAGGACATTAAAAAATGGATAGATAAAAAATGAAATGATATGTTACCATACAGGCAGGAAACTCCCATAGCCTACTATAACATTTTACCTTGAATTATCCTTACTGCAAGGTCATTAAAATTTATTCTAAAGAGAATGTCCACTGCAGTCTCCACAGCACCGTCTTCCCCATAAACCTGCACCATTATGTCCACAGTTTGCTCTCTGGTAGCCCCCTGCAGCTGGGATCTCTGGATGGGTCGGCATCCCTCTCTCTTATTCAGGGCCAAGTACCACTGAAATGACACCAGGTTCTTTTCAGTCAGCTCGTCCAGGTGATCTTTCAGTAGTTTTTCAATTCGCACAGGGGTCGTCATTCTTGACTCTTGGCAAGTAAACAATCAGCTGATTGGCTTCTTTAGAGACGTGAACTGACTGAGAAAGATAAAAACAAGAAGTTAGAATGAATTAATAATAATAATATAATTAATAAAAATCAAGGACCGACAGACATAGAGCTGATTCAACTTGGAGCAGTTAATGCAGCTCTATTCTACACAAAATATAGTTTTGGGGGGTAGAAAAACTTTCCAAAGACTACATTTAATTAATCTAAAATTTAAAGGTTTTAAAGTTCACCATCCAATGAAAAGTATCATAATTTGTTATAATTTTGTGCTCTAGGAGTCACATTTGTCTGTAAGATAAAATCTTTATATGCTTCTCTTTTTATAGAGAAAGGGACAAAAATACAGGGGATACAAACATCCATTCCAATTAGAGAATGGTACTTTTTCTTGTTTCTTTCTATCTCAGCTCCCACACAATTCTGTTACTCAGTCTTCTCCATCTACCGTTATATAGATTTATTATGATTTCTTTTTTTATTTTTACAATGCAATAGATTTCTTGTGAGTGTGGGATCAATCATTTGAAGCACCAGTGCAGTGAACAGCTGTATTCTTTACAGGGTCAAAGTACTGTAGCTGTGTTTCCTGTTCTGGCCCTACTTGCTGCAGCTTTGCCTGTTGAACAGATGGTGGAGGCAAAGTCCATGCAGTGTTGTGAAAGTTTTACTTTCTCTATGTAAGTACATGACTTGACTGACTTTTGAGGTTTTGGAGGCAGATAATGATTCGAATATCAGTTTGGACCGATTAAAATAAATTTTTTGGTAAACCCTCAAAAAATAAATAAACATGGGTCTCCAGAGTGCTTCCAGGAATTTAAATTATAAAATAAATAATACAAAAATGCAACATTTAAAGATAGGTTCACAGTTTTTCAAGTCTGTCTTAAAACAATAGTCAGCTTTCTATATGACTATTATGGTTAAGGTTAAAAAAAACATGATTTGTATATCAAGTGTAAAGGATCTAACCTATTATCTTATTGTGCAAACTAATTTTAAATGTATCTTAATTTCATATAAATAATCAGTTGTATGAGTAGATATCACTTTGGCACAAACATGACTCCATTTGAAAGAAGCCCAGAGGTATCACATACTGTATTTTAAACATTACTGCCTTTGTGATTAACTAGTACTAACAAGCACGTTAGCTAGTTCTAGCTAACATTTTGTTAGCTAGAACTAGCTAACAGAGTGTTAGCTAGTGCTCATCAGGCTAGATAAATGAATCAAAAAGTAAGCCCACTAATTCTTCATTAGCATCATTTGCTGCTCACCTTTGTTTTTGGGCTAGATCCAGTATATTCACAAATATTTAGCTATTAGAAGTTGTTCGTTCTTTGTTATGTCTTCCGCCCTATTCCCCGGACAATTAATGGCCAAAATATAAGAGCACTAAATTTCACTTTCTCTTCCTCTTTCTGTTAAGCACTGCACTTGACCGACCTCTCGTGGAGAGAGACAATAATAATAGTAAAATGTGAAGAAAAGGAAAAGAAGAAATCATATACTCTAACCTACTAATTACAATGATTGAGGCTGGATTACCAGTCAGGCAAAGTGGGCGACCCCGAGAGTGCCCACACCCCTGTGGAGCCCTGTGTAGCCCCTAAAAGCTCTTGGTGTGGCAATGGATTTGTGAATCATAGTAACTTGGTTTAGAAATATGGGAATAGATACCACTAAAAGTAAGAGTATCCACAAATATGATAAAGCTGTTTTATTAGCTGATGTTGAGGCCCTATCCTGAAGCAAGGCCCTTCGAATAGAGTTTTAAGACCTTTATTTCTGTGCTGTTATTGTGCATAGTATGAAATTATAATAATTTGGGATTAATGACAAAACAAAATATTTTAAATCTCTAAAAACAACCTTGTTTACCTCCATGTTTACCTACTGGCTGTCTTCTTCATAGCCTTTGCTGGCACCTTGTTGCATTTCTTGGCTCAGTGTGGGTTCTTGTGAACAAGAGAACAAACAAAACGGGGAACCCATTCACATTGCTCCATAGTGTTACCAGTTGTTATAAACTCCACAGGGCACCTATAATGGTGGCCCAACAGCTTGTTTTTGCCCAGGCCCTCCCTGGACAGGTTAATCCAGCCACAGTGATGGTGCTGCCCACGTTTAAAGGAGAGGTTCACATTATTTAAAGTCTGTTTTAGAACAATAATCTCATACCCATGTGTACACTGTAACAGTTTTGCTTGCTGTAATCATTCATCCTGTTCATACTGGACATTAAAAGATCCCAGCAAGCTTTTTCTTAATTCTCCCCATTTTGAATATTTTAAGCAGGTTTGAGGAGGCAGTTTTGGTTCATTTAGAATAATATGGTTATAGCTGGTGGATCTATTCAGTAACCAGAGCTTGACAGAGAAATGTTTCTGAATTTTCAACAGTGCACCTGAAGTGTCAATGTTTGCCTGAGTGAAAAATAAAATAATCAAAAGGAGATTTCAAACTCTGAAACACTGCAAAGATCAAGTACAAGAGTTGAGTACGTATCGCGTCAGATTTCCTTTGCTGTGATGTCCAAAAATGTATCATTACTTATTTATTCTGGCCAAGCTGACAGAGCACATTGGCATTTCATCAGCAACACCCTGCTTTTCACCCGCGCAGCTACGCACACTGACGCCCGGATGCTGCCAAACACGACTACGGACGACTGACTTGCTGAGCAGTTGGGGGTCAGTAGCTTATTGCTCGGGGGCATCACGACAGTATCTGCTGAAGCAAGAAAGAGCGTTACTCATTCACTTCCCCCAGTCAGATTATTTCTCCAAAAACAGCAGAGAACGGGACTGTCATGACTCAGCTCTTGGCCCCTTCCATTCCTCTCAGTTGTGATGATGTAACAGATGGCATATTCACCCTCATTAGTCACAACAAATGAAAAGTCGTGGCTAAATGTATCACAGCTAGTGAAGCTTTGATTGCACAATTAGTCTGTTCTGGATACAAACAGAGACATTTTGGCTCTGAAGATCATACCACAGGACTGTTTGGCTCCAAAGAGGCATGGAATTATAGAAATTTAAGGAAAAGTCCTGAATGGGTGTATTCCTGCAAGCTTCAACTGGCCCCATACAAAAAGACAAGTGACATAAAGCTGGATAGATTTTCTCTACTGCTAATACTACTGTGGAGTAGTAGATAGATATGTTTCCTCTCCTGCCTCCAGCTACAGGATTCAATATGGGAAGTTTATGAGGTGGACTTAAGGTAGTGAAACATGTACTACTACTACGACTATGATCTACTACTTCTCCATTCAATCACTACTCATTTTCTGAACAGAGCTAAAAAAAAAACATCAGCTGCTGTTTTCATGTGTGTTTTCCATTGCAAAGTCAAGAGGGAAGTTAATATAAAGGACTGGACTTTCTCATGTCACTGTGAAGTCATAATCAGTCAGAGTCTAAAATGTAACACACAGTTGTAAGGTGAACAGTGTATAATAGCCCTGAGGTTGATAAAAGTGAAGATGGCAATACGTCTGATGGTAATAATACTCCAATAATAATACTACATCATGGAAAATCATGCACAGGCTTTCTTTCTTCACTGATTTCAGCTGAAACCATCCTACTTTCTCTTCTCTCAGCCTCCTGTGCTCTCACTCCTCTTCCCTCCTCTGCTTCTCTGTCTCTCATCAAGCGGGCAAGGCATAGTGTGTGGTTGGTGTGAGATAACAAAGGCTGAGGAGTTCACCATTATATAACTTCTGTGGAGGCTGAGGAGGTGGAGGAAGAGGAGGAGAGGCAGCAGGGTTAGCACGTAGGAAAAGGAGGGCAGGAGAGGGCCAGTAGCCTACGTTGCAGTGCTCATTTGTCTTCCACATAACACGCGAACATGCACACACACACATGCTGGCCTCCTTTTCCTGCTCTCCATCACGGATTCAGCTGGCTGCACTTGCAGATATGGCCTCACAATATTTGAACTTTTCAGTGTTTCAGCGTTGTGTTCCCACGCTGACAACCACGCATAAAGATTTTCAAGTGAAATCACCATTTTTCTCTCTCTTCTGCTTGACAGTGTCTGTGTGCTGTTTGTCGTCCCACCTCTGAGGCAGAGCATTGAGCAGGAAGCCACACACACACACGGGGCCTCTAACTCTCAAGCTCTATGTCTCCCTCCAGCCCCACCCGCCTGTCCTCCGATGGCCTCCCACTCATGCCACATTAAACATTTAGTGAGGCACTCTGGATCTGTGTGACACCATCTTTTAGCGCCGCCAAGCTAACAGCCCTCACACTGTGGAAAAACATAGGTGCATGCTCGTCAGTGGAAACCTGATACAGGAGTCACACTATTCCCTCTGCCCGTCCCTATCTCTCTTATGCACATACACGCGCATGCTCTCGAATGCAAAGGCAAAATCAGTGATTCAGAAAGGCCTACTTTGTTGAGAGCAAGACCTGCATTAATCAATATTGATCTGTGGAGTGTGTGTCTGAATGTGCATGTGCATGGACTTATGCAGTGTGTGTGTGTGTGTGTGTGCGTGTGTTTGTGTTTATTTGTGTGTGTCACAGTTTGCCTCTCTGCTGCAGTGAGGTGTGACCCAAGGTTGGGTGTATCCCAACCAGTGCAGTAAAATGCTGCTGTGATGTTTTCCTGCAATATTTTTTTGAAGATATGAGAAGAGACAGGAACTGGATGTCAAAGCCATTTTCAAGCTAGGAATATGCACCATTGCCGGAGTGTGTACCTTTCAACAATATGTCACCTAATTATCTTTACTATCCCCCCAAAATAAGTTTTAAAATAGTCTATTGTAGGCAAAGAATTCAGCACCTTCCTCCTACATTTTCAGTGACTTCATTGAACGTGAGGCCTTGGTCTCATGCTGTAGGAGCTCATTCTCGCGAGGATTCCTCCCCTTTACTACACATTCACACACACACACACACACACACACACACACACACACACACACACACACACACACACACCATCATCATCATCACTCCTCCTCCTCCTCCTCTCCCCAGCCCCTCCCTTTCCGTCTCTGCTCGCCTCTCTCCTCTTCAGCCTTGCCTGCCTGTCAGAAAGGTGCTCCAGTGTTGGAGGCTAGGCTACCCTCCTCCCGGACCCCGTACGAGAGCCAGCCGCCGTCGTACCCCAAGGCTTGGGCTCCCCACTCACGGCTCCGACCATGGCAACCACCGCTACTTCCACCAGGTTTACCGACGAGTACCAGCTGTACGAGGAGCTCGGGAAGTAAGCAGCAGTCGTAACGTTACAGTGTGCATCGTGTTTGTCTTGTCGTTTTGTCCCCCACCCCCGCAACCTCGCCTCACATTATTTTTGCTTAGCCAGCTAGCAGGCGATAGCTAGCCAAAATAGCTTACAGACGAGTCATGTTGAATGCTTTAATAATTTGTCAGTTGGTGTTAACTGGAGAATGTTGTTGCCGTGGTGCAGTCATGCTAAATAACCGCTGCTATCGGCTAACTAGCTCCCCCCGCAGTAACGGTGAACAGCGCACTAACGTTCAATTACTAGCCAGCGAGCTACCATGCTGATATTGATGAACTAGCCGAGTTAGCCCACTAGCGTTGCGTCTTTTAGTCGCTAATGGTGATGAATATACCACATAGAGGTTGGTGCATTAACAGCTGGTAGCCCTTCCGTGTTTGCTAGCCGGTATTTTCTGGTCTGCTGGACCCGTCAGTGGGGCCCCGAGAGACGCCGGAGACGTAGCCCTGTGACATTTCACCGGCCCACGGGTCTGACAGCTCCGTGCGGGCTCCGTAGTTAGACCAGAGGCTGTGGTCGGTAGCTAACTAGGCCGACCACTTTTTTCCGAGCAGCTGCAGATGATTTGTGTAACCGTGTTGAGTAACGTTACGTACCCCTGGATCACTTAATGAGGAAGTTATTCGGTCCAGGCTGCGCTGCTTTATGTTTGCACTGTAATGCCCATACGCTCCGCACACCAGCTGGCCCGATCATCATGTTATCAATAAATACATTGTAATTGCGGCTCTTAAACTGCAGTAATCGAAAGCACTGGCAGTTTTACAGGCAATTCGGCGTTTACTGTGCAAGGGGCAGTGACGTGTTTTCTCGGTATTTTGATGACGGCAAGAAAACCGGGCCACTACCTCCTCTGTTTCATCATCATAATCATCAGCAGCAGCATCTGTTGTTCTTGGCCGGTGAAACCCCCCCTCCCCCGTTGTACCCAAACCAGCGGCAGCAGGACGACATTGGCTCTATAAAGCTACGCCAGCCTTAATTTCCAGCTGCCATTTACACTATCTGCCTAATAATTGACAGCAATCGTGGCACTGATTACACAGTCAATGCACTCGCACACATACACACCTACACATCCTTCATAATGTATTTGGGCTGTACTGCTCCTGAGTCCTCCCTAGACTGACCACTTACCTCAGCTTATGTTTCTGCACCGGTTTGTTAATGCATTTTGCTCCGTCATAGGTTATTAACGTCAAAGCCCTGAGTTGTACTTCTGTCACCTGTCACTTCTCATTCACTGGTAAATAATTGAAACTAAGAGCAGAGTGGTAAGAGCAGAGTGCAGCAAAAAGTAGCAACCCTCCATATACCATCAAGAATACGAAAAAGCAGCCCCCCTCTTTTGGGAAAACTGCAGGGCCAGATACTGCAGTTTGTGCATGCTGTGATATAGGCACTATGAAACTCATGCATAATTACTTTTTCTGTGATGCACAAAATTGAATGATCACCATAGAAGCTAGCAGGTGAAAAATATGGAGTGTCCAACTAGGTCAATATGAAACTCCTCAAGGTAGGAGTTGGTTTATAATGTGTTATGCACTTCATTTTCTGCTTGAGTAGATTTATAACTGAACTTGTTACCTTGTGAGCGCATTAAGTTGCCTATTGTTGTGTGTGATGCAGCCCATTCTTTGTGATGGCTGTTGGAAATTGAATTTCCTTTGGAGTGGTAGATTGCATTGTATTGTGGTGCCTATCAGAGATTAGCAAAAGTACATGGCCATTCACTCATAATCCAAGACCTGAGCTGATATCATCACTCGTGCTGGAAAAGCTTGGCTATATTGGTCCTGGTTTTGTTTGATTGTTGCTCACGTTTTCTGGTTGCATACACTGATGTTGTGATAGTAATGACTGTAAACTCTTTGTGTGTGTGTGTGTGTGAGTGAAAGACAGATATGGTTGTTAGCATACACAAACAAACCACTGCCACACGCATGGATGCAGTTTCAAATGTCACACTGTGTGTGTTTGTGTGTGAGAGAGAGAGAGAGAGAGAGCATGTGAAATGGAATTGATTTTTGGTTGTTTATGTTCTTTCTTCTTAGGGGAGCTTTTTCAGTGGTGCGTAGGTGTGTAAAGAAGTCATCAGGACAGGAATATGCTGCAAAAATCATCAACACTAAGAAGCTGTCTGCAAGAGGTACGGTAACACACCATGCACACTCACCCAGACCATGATATGTGCATGATTGTTTTGCTTGTGATGAATATTGGAATGGAGCGCTATATGTATAATTTTTATATTGCAGTAGTGCTCTTTATTAGTATACAATAAAGTTTCTGGAAAGTCCATTGAGAAGCAGTTCATAGATAAAATAACCTTCTGGGGCTAATCCAGTGAACTAAATGCCTGAAAAAACCTTAACCTATCGCTACAGAAATCCTGTAAATTGAATATTGCCATAAAGCAGCTCAACTCACTGATTTGCAACTATAACCGTACTGAGATATTGAGGGTATGACTACCCTGGTGTTGTATATCAAAGTTGTTAGTGGTTCATGTCTTTCGTATATATTGTCTCATCATCTTATTGAAAATGATGCATATAAACAAGAGTCTCATAATTCCAATAGCAGACAAATTCTTTAATCCAATCATTGTGTCTGTGGGGAGCTTTAATCAGCAACTTCTCAATGGTTTAATGATCCTCTTTATAAACACTGTATTGAATAACTCTCAATCGCTCCTCTGTGGTATCATCAGACAACCACTGTACAATGAATTGATCCAAATTTCTAAGAAGCTCTTCATGGCGAGGGCACACGGATGGCACCGAAATCAAGCAATAAGAACCGGCAGGACCCAAATGACTTTCCTTGTCTGTTGTCTTGTTAATTGCTGCCTCACATGGCTCCACAGTCCTCTCCTGAATTTAATTGTCGCGTTACTCGTGCATTTCTGCATAGGTCCACACCCACGTGCACATGCCTGGTGTGACGTGCCATGTTGTAATGATGATGTGAGCTCACGTCAGTGTGTCAGAACCTCCCTTGGTTTAGGACTGAGATACTTAATTGCCTTCTCCGTCTTGTTTCTGACAAATTAGGCCCGCAGTCCTTCCTGACATTCACACACACCTGGGTTCCTTTGTTCTCCTTACCTGGACACTCACTCATTATCTCTGCACCTCTCTTTCTCTACTAGCCTCTCTCCTTCTTATTGCCTTTCTCTTGTCTTTCTGTAAAGGGGGATTGGTTTGTATTTAGGCTAATCCACTTATGCTAAATGTATCTCATCAACCACTAAGACCCCATGGATTCCATAGGCGCCTCCCTGTTTGCCCTGTTGTTGTCTGTGTCTGATGGCATTTGTGTGGTTGTGTGTGTGTGTGTGTGTGTGTGTGAAAGAGAGACAGAGGGAGCAGAGAGTAATGCTAATAGAGCATGTCTGTATTGTGAAGCATCTGTGAGTGTGTTGTAATGCCGTTATTGTTCTATCCCATCAAGTGTCCACATAGGGCAGCTCCTGGTATTAATGTCCCACCAAGGAAAAGTAAGGGCTCAGCAGAAAACTGCTGGCTCTTCTGTGAGGCAGGGAGTACAATGTAGGCCTGTGTACATGTGTGTGTTTGCCAGGGAAGAAGAAAGCTGGCCAGGAGAGGAGGAGGAGGAGGAGGAGGAGGAGATTTTTAGCAGTATAGTCTTGCAAGGAGATCAGTGACACTCCACACCAGGGAAGCAAGGTGAAATGAGACAGAGAACGAGACACTATAGAGTGAGCGAAGGAGGGAACAAGAGGATTTTGTGCTAAGAGAAGAACTGCGGTAGGCCGTCTGGCTGACGCAACATGCACCTACACGCACACAAAACACAACGTCCACACACAGAGGCCGCCAGTGCGTGAGCAGGCAGCTTGCCTGGTAGGATTTGGGTGGGTTTTTTTTAGCCCGATGGGGCGAGCGTGACCTCACGCGTGGCCTGGTGGGTAAGTCTCTCAAAGCTCTGGTAAACACTGCAGTAATCTGAGGAGGGGGGAGGGGGAAGAGGCAGGGAGGCAGGGAGGGAGGGAGGGAGGCAGGCAGGCAGGCAG